AAGTGAAGTTGTCAACGTGTTCAACTACTTCACTCCCTATCCTTAGTTCAGGTGTTGACGTAGACCAGTCCTGAAGCAACAACTTGCATTTAGAGGGAGAGAAGCGCATTCCAAACATTCTGGCATTGTTGCTCAGTGCTATCAAAAGATTCTGCGTTTTATCAGCGTCTTCACTAAACATGACTATATCATCTGCGTATTCTAAGTCGATAAGTGGACCTCTTGGAAGGAGATCAATACCCGAGAATTCAGTCGACGAGAATGTTATTTCCATCAAAAGGTCTATGATGAAGTTAAACAAAAGTGAAGAAAGTGGACAGCCTTGACGGACACCACTTGAGGTCGCAAAAGCAGATGACAGTTCGCCATAAGCTCTGACTCGACTAGTAGTGTTCGAGTAAAGAGCCTTCACAAGGTTTATGTACTTCTGGGGTGCTTAGTGACATTTCGCTGGCCCTACAAGACCTTACCGTCGGAGACGGATATCCGTGGGATAAGGCGAAGTGTGCATTTTTAGGGTCGACCGCTTCTAACCCCACCCCTCCTTGTGGGAAGGAAGCGTCGCTGTCGTGCTGGTTGTCGGAAGGAATCACCTTACTGTTGTCACACCTCTGTACAGCCGGCAGTCGACTTCGCCTTCGGGCCTTGAGTTTGTTGCTTTTAGCCTTACCGCTCTTCAACCGACCTGTCTGACATGGTGGAACCTTGAGGAACGGTTGTTCTAGCCCGTATAGCTCGACTGCTTCATCACGATAGGCAAGCCCGACCACCTCGTCAAGGTAGCAACAACGGTCGGGAACATCTATCAGTTTAAGCATATGATAGCACATATATGATTGATCCTATCAAAAGATAATTCGAGACAGACGACACCCACTTTCTTGTTGTAATCAAGGATAGGACTCTACGTAACTGCCCCAGTCAGCAGATTGGTGGTACGCGAATAGATCTTACTGAAACCGCTAAGTTAGGGAGAAAAATAGTCTATAAGTATGAATCAGTTTCATACCAGAGATTTTACAACCTTTGGGGCATTTGAAAGGATCATTAAATCAGCCAGGTCAATAAGTCTGTGTTCATATGCGCGATGGTTACAGCAATTGACTGCATTGCAAGGACCCAGGTGAAACAATTCAAATTTCAGTTCTTAATTCTAATACTAACAAGTTCACTATAGATTGATAGCCGCTAAAACTTCCGTATTTTTACATCCTTCCATGTCTAAGCTCTTTTAGACCCGTAAACCGTTGTCACGTTATTTATGATTCCATATTTATCGTTAATTAATTGTTTCTCTTTTAGTCATGCTTTGTGTCACTTTCAACTAAGTTATGTACACGTTGTAATTCACTACTAGTGTTAAACTAGTATCAAACATTTCAGGTGTATTATCTCATGGGTTTTGAGTCATGATTAAGTGGATTACAATAAAGAACTAATGTATTTTTTATCTTTATCTTCTAGTCAGATGTTCGGTTAGGGGTAGCTTGTGGACTATTGTGCTTGAAGGTTTTACTGTTGTCCATCGATCAATGTTTCAGTTGTTAAATAAGGTTACTGTCCCTACTGTCAGCATGGGCGAACTAATTGACAGTCACTTTGGGGAGAGTTATCATGCAACTGATCCCCTGTAATTACGCTCTGACCAAAGGCTCCAACAATACTTATCTATGTACGTGTCTTTCCGACTATATCACACATTTACGATAGACTGTGTAGATCTCACGAGATTAATTTGATTGCAGTTATTCTTTCGATCGACACTCGAATTTTCGTCAAAATCACAATATTCCTCTATTAATCAATGTTTCTGCAAGTTAGCCAGATTCATATACTAGCTTGTAATTTTGTTCTAAATATCAGCGTGTAATCATTTCACCACTTAACTTTGTTCCTATTTTCTATTTCTGATGTTCTTTTCTACAAAATTACTCATCACTGTAAAAACCAATACAAGAAATGATCTGATGTACGAATGACAGAGTCTATTCAATTTTTGAATTTTAGTTAGATGTGACAATTAAGCACCATTTGTTTTATACCTTTACCCAGGTAAGTCGGTCTTTCTCCAAGGTTTTGAAGCTGACGAAACAGACTTTCAGACACATTCTTGATCAGAGATCAGCATAATCCAGGCATTTGAAATGTTAAAATGAGATAGTACGAAATGGATCGAAAACGAACAGTATCTAGTTTGTCTTAAGTAAGAGCTTTCATAATTATTCTTCAATCGACTCTGATAATTCCATCTGATTTAGAAATAATACTATTCACCCATACTAAACAAATAGAACACTGCTAAGCCATCTTATTAAATTGTTAAATCAAAAGTTGGCTTGACGATTCGATCGATGAATTTCTCAACTAATTGAATCTCGATTGGATCGTACAGTAATATGTGCGTCGTGTTTATGATGCATAAATGACTGCAAATAGTGTGGTTGTTTATACAGTCGATCATTATTTGATAGTTGGCCATTTCCGAATTCGTCAGCAATGCTAAATGCAGTCACTCTTTAGCTTCTATCTCCATATTTATCATTATCTGACGAATGGTGACCAAGTAGTTGAATTTCGATCGTTACAGAGAGTGTGAGGACTTCTTAGTGTCGTGAAGATATTCTGAACTCATTGGCACATTAGGTTGCTTTAGTTTAACAAATGAACGGTACTAACGAAACAGACACCATACTGAACTTCGTATATCTTCATCAGTTAACGACGTAAATGCAACATAGACATATAGATCTGAATACGAGTGTCACCAATATGTACACTCATTTTACCAATAAGATGAAGAGAAAAAGATGTGAATTGTCAAGGCAGTAAACCCGACTCACTATGCCTAAGAATGACTTGTTTGTGTGTGGAAATACAGGTAGTGTGTGGAATTCGGACACTTAAGAGGATGGACAATCGATAGGACTAATGCGCAGGCATACTTTATTTATTTATTTGAACACATAAATATTGATACCAGGGGCACTAAATATATATACGCTACACAAAACAATGTGAATGGGAAGAGAGCTAAAGAAGATAAGAAGTGTATAAGAAAAAGAAAATAACGATCACAGATTTGTGTAAGGTAGTGTAATAAAATATTAATAATAATAATAATAATGGAGGAAACAGGAAGATTCAACCACTTTTTATGAAGAAAGTAAAAGAAGGTTCCAGCAGGATCGCCACTGGATTCTATTCTGAGCCACTCTATTTTTGGTTAAGTTTCATTGTGAAAGACTCTCTGTGGGTAGTTTGGTTTATAAATACCCATAGCTGACACGTCACCCGAATGACGTTTTTCTGCTTGCGTTATGAAAAATGATGAGGAGAACGTTCAAGTGCCAAATAATTTATTTCAAAGAAATTAATTAGCTTTTTAGTAATGTTAAGTGTGCAGATTATAGTTTAGTGAGGAAAAGAAAACAGCGGTTATAATATGCGAGATATATTCAACGTCTAGATTTTGCTCTCTTCTGTTATGGTTTGCAGAGCACAAAATTTTAAACCAAGAACTGAGTGAAAGTACGGTTAAAGGTATGAGCAAAGAAGTTTAAAATTTGAGAAATATTGAATGTATCCGAAACGCAATGAAATTATTACTATTCAATATTACGGTTCATAATCGGTTAATTTTTTTGGTTTGTCTCTTACAATATGAACAGGTTGGTTACATTTGATCATGGTAATAGAAAATTAGTTACAAGACAAGCTTAGTGGTAATAAAATCTCGACAAAGCATCTATTAGATGGTACTCACAGCTTCCAGCCTTTTAGATTTCAGAAATGAATAGAGCCTTGAAAACAGTCTAACCGTCGGCCACTAAATCAACCCACCTGGAGTCGATATCCAAAGAAATAATGGTTCGGTAAATAAAAGGACATGCTAGTTCAGCATTGAAGGTAGTATGTAGTGGAAACTTAATCCTCAAAACAAATAGTTCTGTAGGTCATGAACACTGATTCTCATTTCAGCTGTTTTGCTGTAGACGCTCAGTCACGCATCCGCTTCAGATAATGAGTGGGTATACCGTGCTATACATCCCTTAAAATACTATCTAGCTAACATCAAACGCTTCTCACAAACGCTCAAAAAGTGTCTTCTAACTTGTTGACTTCTGACTGACTTGATGTTCTTCGATTATAAACGTGTCATATATGACAACATTATCAGACTCTGAATATCTGTGGCATCTCTAAGTTTATGTCATCTAAATAAAAAAACCTTTCCGAATTTAGAATTTTCTGAACACGATAACTTTGTCAACTTTTACACCATCGTGTAAATACACAGGTCCGATTACACGTTTTCTATTACTGCTTGGACCTATCTAGAACTCATAAAACAAGTATATATATATATATATATATATATATATATGTATACATATATATATATATATCGTAATTAGAAGTAGTCGAATTGATATAACTTGTTCAGGGTTGTCGATATGGCTTGATTATGGTATTCGGGACAGTTCTTCCTTCCTTCTATGCTCATTTTTGGCAACTGGATGTATTTTAACATGTTAATCACACTTAGGAATTTAAAACTACCTGTGGTCGTATTGATGTGTTTTTAGTGTTTAATTAAACCCCTAATGGTTCTCTCTCGTGCTCTACTGAAAATCAACGGTCGTTTCCTCCATATTTATGGCCGTGACATTCCATCCAAAATCCCACTTCCCCCATACATCACTAAAAAGGTCGACCTGACTCTATCTACAGTAGCTGTGCAGAGTGAACGTAATAACAGTGAATATAAACGAGCAGGTTCATTGATCCATCAGATATTTAATGATCTTGAAAAGTTGATCAGACCGGGCTTGTCTACTCAAGATATTGACGATTTCGTATTTAATCGGTGTCTGAGCAAGTCGGTATACCCATCGCCTTTAGGATATAAATGTTTCCTAAGGTCGGTCTGCACGTCGGTAAATAAAGTTGTTTGTCATGGAATCCCAAAAGAATCCCAAATACTAAAATTAGGTGATATTATGTCTGTGGATATATCAGTTTATAATGGTTATGCCCATGGTGATATTTGTCACACCTTTGTAGCTGGTGTGGATAGTCACTCTGATTATTGTGATCTGGAAGCTGGTGCACAGATAAAAGCTGCTGTCTACTTGTGCAATGTCGCTCAAAAGTGTCATGATGCCGGTATCAGTGTTTGCGGTCCAAATGCTCCTTATACACCTATTGCGGAAGCAGTCACGAAATGTGCCGATGTATTTCAGTGCCCGTTTATGGTAGGCGGATGGGGACATGGAATCGGCCCATTTTTGCATCGACCATCAAAAGTAGTACATTCAACCCATGAGTTAGCTTACCAACCACTGGCACGTATGCTACCTAGACATACGTTCACCGTCGAACCGTGTATTTCTCTTCCTATCAACAATTCCCGAGTAAAATTCGAACGGAATACAAGTTTCTCAGTTCCTGTTATCTTGGAAGATGGATGGACAGTGGTCACTGGTGACAAAGCTTTGAGAGCTCGATTTTAACATAACATTTCATGTAAAAAACTGTTATTTGAGAATAAATTATTATTATCATATAACCAATAATAGCTCACAAATAGTTCAATCTAGAGGTATAGAGCTCAGTCAACACAATTGAAGCCGTTGAATCTGAGATTTCTAATCGGGACAGAATAATTTACAAAGAAATCATTAACAAAACAATAATATATTCTTGATTTACCGTCCTTCATATTAAATGTCGGTTGACTAGATGCAATTAGGAATAAAAAAAGCCATTGCATTCATTACGATCTACTGCAATCTCGCATTTTACACATTAATATTTATCACCACTTTTAATAACTCCTCCTATCCTGCCATAAGATACATCGTATTAGTCAGATTTCTAGCACCGCACATCTGATTAATTAGTGAGTTAATTAGAAACTTTATTTTTTATAAAATCTCGACAGCCTGTCATTTTTACAATACACTTATTCAAACTTCTGTTTCATTATAGCCAACTGAACATCTCCTATGTAACTTGATATTCTCTGGGTTCATCAACAAAACCTCACCAGAACAAGTTCACTAATTATACTCTTGCCACATCAGCCTAAAGAGAGCAAGTAGGCTTACTAAGTCTAGTTCATAGGAGACTATTCTTATCGGTTCATAGCTGAACCCTTTAACTCCTTTTGAACACTAAGAAGGAAGCCTAAATGTATCGAGTAGTTCGCATTAGTTCATCGCGATTATTTTCGTTATTAAATGTTGAAATTGCGTCAACCATCAGTGTGCTTGCATTTTCAGTCTGATGTGACTTCTTGAAATTCTCACTAATATCTGGAAATATCCAATTTTTGAGTGAGACATTGGAACATTTAGGCGCTTCCGAGGATACGAACTGCGTCTTCACCTTGCTGTTAGACAGCGAAAATAACAAATGTGACAACAACAATCTTACCAAGGTTGAATAACTGTGCTCTGGATTTAACTGGAGCGATCGACTAATCTCTCCCTAGTTGCTTCAACTATAATATATACACATCCATTTACTCGCAAACATGGCACTTACGGATAGATAATTTAAAAACGGTCATAGATCACGCTACGATTTCAAGTGATATTCAGATCCTGAACTTGGTTAGTATATATCCACTTATTTATATTAATTTTCTCTTTAGAAATTTTCATCATGCATACTTCCTCTTTAAAAGTTTCACCTTCTGATTTCAGTCTATCGATGGTTATGGACAACAATAGTGTTGCTACCAGTACTCACACTAAGCAATACTGTCTGTATTAGAGCCCAAACGCAGCAAAAAAACAAATCCCTCACCACTAAACGTAACTTTAGATTTGCCACGCGTTGCAGGAGAAATCTTAATGATATCCCAGAGACCATCAGTCGTCTGATACCTCCAAATCCGAGTTACACAGCGACAAACTGTGGGCCTTAAGGGATGTCGCTAGAAGATAAACAAACACCCAAGAACCAACAAGCATGGTGGTACACGGAGTGTCTGAGCTAGTGGGTGTTAGTCGATATGAAGCCCACAAACACTATGTAGAACAGTGCTGGGTATCACGTAGCATAAACCTTCACATCACTACGATAAACTGTCTATGTTACCCTGCCCATTACACTTTAGGATCATTGGGTCTTTGCGCCAAATGGCTGTGAACTTCATAAACCGAGAGGACTTAATTGAAGACCTTCAGGCCTGGGCAAACTCAAAAAATAATCTCTGAAGTCACATCAGATGCTGTGAGAGTCGGCATAGTTTGTAGAACAATAGCAAAAACACACCAAATAGGTTGGCCTTGATCAACAACACACCGTACAGAACGTAGAGGCATTCATTTCGCTTGTAGTACATTAATTACAACCTAAAATCCTTCAACAGCCAGTTCTCCGGAGCTGATCATTCACTTGACTGGACAGTGGACTTAAAGCTTTGAAGACAAATGCTAATGCATACCAGGTTCAAGTAATGAAACCCCATCAAGTGCCTCACTATCAACATGAGGGGGCCGAAGGGCTAACCAGAATAGCTGAAGATTATAATCCTAACTGAAACATGGCTCTCGGTAAAAACATATGTAAACACGTGGTCATGCAAGGTATACAAAACAGGTTTAATGGATATATACATGAACAGACACTTCAAAACCGTTGAACCACAATTAAACTGTATAACAGAACCGTGCTTGTGTTACTTCAATGTAAACGGCACAAAGTACTCGATCAAGGGAATATACCCCTGAGCCTAGAAAAGTCACCAGGATGTTGCGACATCCGACCTTTGATCCCGAAACAGTAAGGGGAAGCCATTGGCACACAAGTGTATAGCCGGTTCAACCACTCACTAAATCTTCATCAGCTCCAAGAAATTTACAGTAGGCCGTTCCCTCTCTAATCTTCAGGGAGGGAGATAGAAAAGGTGGTTAAAGACCAGTCGTTTTTTCCCAAAGTTGTAGAAGTTAATGTAAAAACTGGTCAATGAACAAATCAGGGAAATAATCAGTGAAAATAGTACCGTTTTTCACAACCAGTTGGCTTACTCGCCTTCTACACTTCGCATCGTTTTCATGCTTTTTGTTCTGAATGTCTGTTTGGATAAACGAGTGGTTGAAATAAAGCTGTTCAACACAACCCGTATTTAGCTTCGCACTACTGTCGTCACACATACGGAGTTGGCCTAGACGATATACGGAGTTGAATGACAGATTTATATTCATAGGGCGTTCGTAAGTCCATACAAATCGTGATACCAATGCCCAACACAGGTTCGAGGAAGGCAGGTCACATGCATCCATTCCACTCATAGCATCGGATACCTGGACAGTCTGCTGGAGCCATGTGATATGGGTTCATGTGTCATTACCAACTTCGCAAAAGCCTTTAAATTAATAACGTCTGCCATTCCCGCAGTGAACGTTGCAAGGATGGGATCCACCAACGTACTTCTATCCTGGTTACGAAGTTACCTAGTGGGCCGTGACATCAAAAGTTTCACAAGAAGCAAGTTATCTTGGGACACTAACTTGTGCAGACGATACAAAGAACTTGAGACCCATGAAAATTTAATCTGTAGAAACGACATATCATGAGTGTTGTGAGTGATCTTGGTCTAGTGACTACGTAGACATTAGTAAAGAGTTAACTATCAAACTGGGGGTGTAGACAAGGCAGAAGCAACCCTCCACTTTATGCGTAGACAACAACACAGAGTTGTTACCAGTGCGAGCATATTACTAGAACGTCACCACCACACTCCCCGGGCGGTCCTCGAGAGATTGAAAATCAAAGAGCAAACAGTTAGGTACGCATCCACTTTTTCTCATTTGGAGTTACCTCTATTTGAACTTATTTGTAGGCCGAAGTGACTACAGACCTTCAGTGGATAGCTCAAACAGAATACTAGGCAAGCACGTACTCTAAAGTGCATTAACATTACCACTTTGGAATAGCTTTACCTGATCTATATATCATAACTTCCCTACAGTTATCATTACCACACATATTGTTAATTTCTCACATTCTCGCCAATTATCTTCTCTGTTTCTACCTTTATTCATACTTTTCGAACTAAACAGTGAATTGTGGGTAAAGAACTTTGTCTCTATTCAGTGGACCTTGTGTGTATGCACCTGCAGGACAGTGCCCAATGGATGATAATCCGGAAACGTTTATGTGTTGTATTTTGTCACAGGTCCTGAAACATAAAGTTGCCAGCCATTTCACATCACTTGACACTTTATCGAATACAGCATTTCAGATGTGCAGGTTTTACGACTGTATACGAAATAAGAGTTTTTTCCAATCATCGAGCGCACCAACATCTCGGTTCTTGTCTCCATACGTCAACGAAAAAGGACTTGCCAGACTGTATGACATCACAAAGCAAGGGTATTTTCACTTCATGAAAGACGAAATGCAAAAGCATTGTCGAAGAAAATAAGAATATGTATGTACTGATTTGAAGTTATAATTATTCACTGTTGTTCTATAGACGGAGTGTTTAGTATTAGCGAACGTAGCTGTAATTCATGCTTCAGGTTGACAGTTGTCTAACAAGTTACGGCAGTCTGACGCCGTTGTAGATTTTTGCGTTTAATAAATTTCGGAATTCATAGGGAGATTATTTTGATTTGTAATAGTGACATCGCAGACAAAGAAAGACTTCATCATTGAAATGTTGTTCATTGTTAACTTAACTATTAGTAAAGTTTTTTCTTACCATATGTTGAATTTTAGACTTGCGTGTGAAACTCCTGAACAGATGGAGCGTGTTGTGTTCGCTTTCTGTTCGCTTTCTTCTGCACTTATTAATAACGATACATTGCTTAATAATAACCCACTACCTGTGATTCCTTCTGCAGATCTTCGTAAATAACATCAGGACTTATAACTTACGATGAAAATACATAACGATTGATGCTCCAGCATCTGTTTTTTTATTAATATCATTGTACAGTAGGGTGTTTTTTCTTGTCAATGAATGCCATTACCAATGTACCATTTTTTAAGGTAGTCGATTACATTCGCCGTATATATTGTCACGCAAATAAAGGAGAACGTACGAGACATTTAGGGTTAGGCAAATTGTGGACACGAAGGCGTGTGATCAAACGTGAATTAAAGATAGGCTAGTGTTCAGACGAGTAGTAGACTATTTGGTGTGCATTTAGGCGAAAAGTAGACATCTCAGCGACGTCCACAACAGAGAACGACAATAATGGAAAAATCCTCATTGTTTCTTCATGAAAGACGAAAAGGTAGTCATTCTGGCTCTTTTCTTCATCATTCACTCTTTATTTCCCAAAGTAATATACCTTTTGTCCTCCCTTGTTCACCTTTATTTCTCCTTTATTAGCCACTTGAGAACTACCATACTTTGAGCATTAATAAAAGCCTGAAGCCGTGACATAACAGCAAAAAACAAGAGCTAAGGAAATTAAGCTCGTGACAAGGATATTAGATGTTGGATATTGGAAGGCCTGTACAACCTTGAAAGTGGCAGCAATTTGATTAACTTTGACATTTGTTTGTCGTTTGTTTGCTTCTTTGAGGTCTGGAGTTTAGACCTTCTAACTATCCTTTTATTTACTTTTATCAGTTGTCGAATCATGATAGTTAGAAGTAATAGAATTGATGTGCTAGCTAAGAATCCCCGTAATAGTGCTATTTGAGACAGGTAGAAATAGATGAACGTATTGTATTTGGAATTCATAATGAGGGGAAAAATAAAGTACAAAATATTCATTAGTTCTTACAAATACCACGACTACCATAGCCTTAGTAAGAATACAAATCTCTGTAGTTTATTGTACTTCTCCTTAGGTTCGTCACATGCTGATCCAATACACAGTTGGACAGATATTATCTGTCCAACTGTGTATTGTATATGGACTCGTGTGATCTAAAATGTTCTCTTTAGTATTAGCGTTGAGCCTATGAGCAATGAACAGATGTCTGCACGCTATACCATTCGACCAGGTAGTGACTGTCTGCAGCAAAATGAGGGCCATTATCAGTCACCAGTACCATAAGAACCCCTTCCCAACTAAAAACGTTCCTCAATGTTTGAATTGTTAAGTCAATATGGTGAAGTTGGGAAAAAGCTTCAGGCCACTCAGAAAAAGAACCAACGGCAACAAGTTCACAGCATTTGCCGAGAAATGGACCACTATAGTCTGCATGAATTCTCTGCCAGGCCTTATACGATACTGGTCATGGATGATTTTTTGACTCACGACATCTTCCACAATTGCTTTCTGTATGAAATCTGGGTTTATCTCCAGCCACCAACATATGAGCCTTTCCTATATGTTCACTATGAGGATCTTCAATGACAGATTCACTTAATGTAGGAGGAATAACCGCACAATAATTTAAACACAGAATACCATCAGGAGTAGTAAATAACTCATCCCGCTTTTAAAAAACAGACAAGAAATCTGCGTTTCAGGTTAGAATTTCAACTTATTTTTTACAGCATTGAGTTTGTATCCAAAGCATCGCTTCATATCTGGTTTAAAACCGTTATCGTCAACCAGTTATCCAAGACATTAAAAACTAAATACACAAAATTGACACTTACTTGGATTTTTCGTGATACTCTTCCCAATTAAACGATTCTATAAAACAAGTATCTGATCATGAGCTACTTTATCAGAACCATGGATAATAAGGTCATCTTGATAAACTTCAAGATCGCTGACTACATTATTCATCACTTCCTGAAATATGGCTGGAGAGCAACTTAAACCAGATAAAAGTTGTGTTTGAATAGACCAAAAGGAGTATTAATTGTCAAAATAGATGAAGATTGATCTAAGGAAATTTGAAGTCAACTTTCGAGAGTACCTTAGAACCATGAAGTTGATTAATAATATCTTCAGCTTCCACTGTCGTTCAAACAACAAACGAGAGTCCAATGTTAATCTATAGTCACCACATATTCTAGGGGTCTTTCCCTCAAGCTTCAATGGCGTAACAATAGGAGTACCCCATACTAAAGGCTGGATCGATTCAATTATACTTTTCGCACACAGATTGTTCAATGTTTTGTGTACTGCTTCCCGAAGACCGTAAGAAATTATTCGTCTTTTAAGAAAAAACTAGAACATCCTGTGTTTTAATTTTTATGGGCTGAATTCTCATTGCTCCACTGCAGTTAGCACACACAGCTATCAAATCTTTAGGTAGAGCATTAAAATCTTCCCTAGAAACTAAGAAAAACAACTCTAAGCCTTTTCAAATTTTTCAAACCCATTATTGATTATCCTGTTTCACTAACTAAAAACTCACAAAACATGTATGAGAAATTATCATCTCGTAATATCAATTCACAGCATCCTCGTTTGGGCAGATTGTGTCCAGTAATCCCCAGTACAGAAACTTCAGTGGATCGTACTACAACGTTAAAATCCAAAGATTTTAAGTTCTTAAATGAAATAATGGACTTTATATTGCCTATGTCAACAATAAAGTCATGGAACGAACCAAGGGAGATATACAAACGCTTCCGAATATGGAAATTACCTTTCGAACATTTTACGTGTTCCAGTCTGTAATTAGATAGGCTGGGACCGAAATATTATATGATATATATCTTAAGTATTAGGAATGGTTATTGGACATTTTAATTGTCATCGTTTCTTGCTTGACTAAATATCCTATTTATAGTGGTTGGCTTCAAATTATTTTTGTATGCTTTTTTGATAAAGTTAGGTTATAAGTATACAATTTAGCATCATTGTGTTGCTGTTGCATTTTCCAAAAATTTACCGAAAATTTTCAATGGGACTATCCAAAAATTTACTTAAATCTGATCAATTTTGTCCCAAAATTGGGAGCTTGCGATTGTTTTCAAGAAATCAGTCCATGAACTTAGCACAAAATCTGTCTATGGTAAACACAGTATTCTTCATATTCCAGACATATTTCGAAAAATGATATTTCACAGGCTCGTTCATACGTAATCCCTCTTGAGTTTCTTTTGCACAGTTGTATTGCAGGTAATCACAAGCACTAAATAACTTTACGCTCGTATCCTCTTTCTATTATGCGCCACAGATTACTAGTTCAATGCTACTGGCTCACCCATATAAGGTTTACTCAAGTGTTTCCATATCTTTCCACTTGTTTATTTTTAGATGTGACACACGGATTTTACACTCTAAGAACACCAGCGTACGTCTCCATTATGTAGACGTTTCATAGTGTTAACCTATAGACTAACAGACTTATTTCATTAACGAAGTTACTGTTTAAATTTAAAGCTAGGTGCATGAAAGACAACTGTAGGCTTTTAACGTCTGGTGGATGGACTTATGATCGAAATTAACATGCGTCATTTTTCGTTATTCCTTCGATATATATGCTCTTATCGGCTAAATAGCAACCATTCTAAGTCCCTTATCAATCCTGTATCTAATATCTAGCTTAGTTGATAAGACAGACGATGGACATTGGGATAGTTAAAACAATGGGGATAAGTGCTTCCATATTTTGAACTTTCATTGTCTCTGACAGTTACGTACATTTTGAACTTTCGGTTCGTGTCTTGTTCACGTTTTATTAATTCTCATTTCATTTTCTCGTTATCATTCCATACCAAAGGCTGACATGAAAAATCCAATCGAATTAAAAACTGAAGCTAATGAGCTTTTTAAAAAAGGGCTATACCGAGAAGCTATTGGCTTATATGACGAATGCCTTGGTTTATATGGGGTTGATAAGAGTATGAAATTGGTGTTACAACGCAACAAAGCCCAGTGTTTTTTAAACCTGAGAAACTTTGGTGACGCCCTGACGGCTGCACTGGAAGGTTTGTTTTCTTTCAAATAGTTAGCTAATTACATTTAGCTCTCAGTATCTCTCCTGGTGATCCAAAGGCGCTCTATCGTTGTGCACAAGCATATGAAGGTAAAGGAATGTTAAAAGAAGCTTTAGAAACTGGAAGAAGGCTTATTCTGGTTGACCCTAAGAATAAAGCAGCTCAGAATCTGACTCACAAACTGGAAACTTCAGTTGCTTCGTACGTCGCAGAATCTGAAAGCCTTACAGGGAAACTAAACAAGATGTTCGACATCGTAAATGACAACTCCAGCTCTGCCGATCAAATAGAACAGGTATATTAAAATTCCTTCCGATCGTATCATTAACTATTAAAGGCTATAGTTAATTTATCTATCTTGATAAAAGAAAACCCCAAAGTTGCAAGTTCGCTGATCTGGACAAATCCCAGTTTGTCGAAGATTTATTCCGTTTGCCGGAACTTTAATCATAAGTTGACCATTGCTTGTCATCGTTTGTTGGCTCAGCTTGTGGAAAATGAGCGAGATCGGGTGAGTCTATCATATACTTTAACGTTAATGGTTATAAGTAATTATCTGGAAATTTAGGTATTATTGAATGCTCACTAGGTTTATTGTGTACTTATCATCGTTTGGTTGTCAATAAGTTTAGTCTCATAATGTAATGTTCTTTATAATCCACTAAAAAGTGTTTCAAAAGATTTCAAGTGGAAGATCTGTGTAACTAGTTTTATGAAACATGATTTTTATTACTAATTATCAAATACAAGAGCCGATAAACAGCAAACAAAAATTACATTTGAGTCATCCACTTAGTAGTCTAGAAAAAGCAGTCAAACTCAAATGCATCTATAGTAAGCTTTCCCTCTCAAAATGCTCTTACATGACCACGCGTATGCAGCCACTGTCAGAGAAGTCCTACTGACTGCCTTCTCGCAGTGGGGGGTGCTGTTTACGAAGTTGAGAAGACGAAAGGCGAATGTTCGGCTCTCTAATCGGTTTGATAGATATGGAGGATCCATCTAGAGGAGTTGGAAAACCCTGATTCCAAACCAATGGTACACATGGGCTCCAGGATCATAAAGGAACAAAGGGCGTATGAATCTATTGTTGGTTACCGGTTACCATGGGACTGCATCTCCTAAAGTTGATGCTTTATCTTGTAGATTAGACTTTCAGGTTAAAGGCTCCGGGTGTGGCCTCCTAATACAACCACATACCTCGGTTAGGGCACCTGGGCAGTATCCCAGCCCTCACGCATACAAATGATAACTGCTACTGGCTTCATTGTTATTGTGTGACGTATATATATTTGGTGCTCGCTTGTAACAATGTTTACGTGTTCAAATAAAATAAAATAAAAGCATTCTTTTGGCAAGGTTCTGTCTGTACTAAGTGGTCGCTAACCCCATCTACAACCCTCCTTTATCCAGGTTTGGGACCGGTTTTGACCCCAGAAAGGCTGCGGGCAGAATTAAATACACCTTAGAAAATATATATGTATACTGTATGGATTATGCTATTATTTTGGATTTTAAACATTTTCTACTTTAGGGTCTTACTGTTTTACATGAACTTACACCACAGTATTTTGTAAACGGGATATTTTCACGTAATCCTGACCATTCGCTGGAACGATGTCGATTTTTAAATGCTATATTGGAATCACTTACTCAGTTGAAAGCTTATCATTGTGCTAAAGAAGCTGCAAGCGTTCATGAGGAGACTGAAAGTAAAAAAGTCGCACCATGTTCTTACCCGAAATACAAGATTGGTAAGTTAGTCTAGTAATTAATAAGATACAGGAGTAATGCTTACTCGCTTTATATTTATGTGATTTGAACAGAAAGATGGACGTTACTCTATATTCCAAATAAGATAGTTTAATGAATGTAAAGTTTCAGCGATTCATTAATAATCATTCATTAAACTATTCATGTATACTACCTAATTCTACCTTTGTTAATCGATGTTTCGACTATTCTGGTCCTAACTTCCAGACCTCAGATTCATATTTTTCTCTATGTACTTTTCTCAGGGTAATCAAGTAGTATCTCTTATCGCCACATGATAAATGTATCTCAAAATCTAGTATTGAAACTTGTCTTTACTTACTAAGTGAAGAAAAAAATCTTAATTATGTAGGCATATTTTGGTGATAAAAATCAATAAATGTTCTGCTGACATTCGGCAGTTTTTATTGGTTGGTTTTAAATGAGACACACGGTTAATGTGTTTTGCTTTCAGTTGCGGATTTCGGAATACCTATTTCTCTTTTAAATATAAGCTAAGAGATAAGAGCATGTCGTTGGCCTAGATTTGGTTATAATAATAGCTGTTTTTTTATTGAAACACTGAGCTGGTCTAACTTGAACCACTATTATCACGTACTCACTAACGACTAGTTTCAAGAGGAAATTTCCAGAGTTCAATCGAGAAACCGTGACCAGTGGAGCTAAACCATGTCGGTTGTGAGGCAGCTACCCACCGAAGACAATGGAGGATGATTGCGCAATATCGTGGGTTGATTGGAGTTAGACATTAACACTGTTGGACGCCAACTCAGTGATTTAAAGGTTAAGTGCTCGCGCGTGAGACCGAAGGTCGCGGGTGTAATCTCCTCATATGCAGGGGGGGCTTAAATGCGCACTGTTGAAAAGCCCCACACTAGGACGACACGGCCCGTTTTCAATGCTAGTCTTACTGTGATCGCCCATGATTTCAATGAAATTCAATACTCTCCACAACCCTATACGTACAATGAATGTTTTCTTAAATCATTAATAGATAAATTGGTTGTTTTAACTCATTAGAGTAATAAGGATTCTTGAAAAGTGCTTCATATCCTGATATAGATCAAGAAAGTGGGAAATGTTACGTAACTGAGATGATTGAATTTTGATTAAAAGTGTTGTTTTTTGTTATATATTCAGTTCTTTTAACGTAAATTTGCAACTGAAAGTAGTCACCTACGTCTATGCTTCAAGAAGTCTTAATGATCTTTGGCTCAGTGGTAATATATTTGGTCTTCCTTCCTAATAATCCAGACAGTATATATAAATGACAACTTGGAACCATTCACATTTTCAGTTTAACAATATATTTGCATTTTACAGACTCTACAGTTGAAAAGCCAGTGGAGGAAATTTTAACAAGTCTTCTTCGGTCTGTAAATAGCTATCGGTTATGCCCCAAAACTCGAGACTATATTTTGGAAATATTGGTTAGATATGTACCATCTGATAAAGGTATTGGATGGTCACAGAAAATTTTTAAAATAGAAGGTATGTACTTCTGGATATTTTCTTTTGGCAGTTTTCCGTAATATCTCACCTTAAATTGACCTTATATGACTGGTTAAACAGCAATATTTGTTAGTTAAAATATGGTTTCTTCTGACTAGGCAGTATATCTTTGTCAAAAACATTTAGCTTATTGTTTTAGTACAGAAAGGTCATTGCTGAAAGTAGTATCCTAATAAGCAAATAACATGTGAGGATAACTGTCCTTTTACGACATTTAATAAAGGTGCTCTATCAAGTGCTTTCAATCATTTTTCCGTTTATTTACTGTGTCAGTGCTGATGTACAATTTTCCATAGGGACTTAATTTCGATCATCTATTACTATCTGTATATATCTTTTGTGAACATGCTACTGTAGCGCATCCGAAATTATCGAATGAAAGAAGCAAATAAAGTGAAAGATAGAGTTTGAAATGAGATCCCCAGTGGAAATTATGCTTTTATATGCAGCAATCACTTACTAAAGGAACAGAAAAGTGATAGATATTACACACATCGTAAACATTGGGGCTCAAGTGTGCTACAAATTCACGGACACGTGTCCTATCGTCAAATGACTGACTTCGCCAATAAATGTTGGTGCTATTTACTATTGGTTTATTTTAACGATTCATTCAGCACAAACATTGTGCATAAAGAGATGTTACATAAGACAGTGTAATGTCACTTCAGAGAATGAAAAAAATGAAACGACACAGGTAACACGTAGGAAGACAACGTCACTATTCCTTATAATGTTTCTGATCAAAGGCAAAACCTCAGAATTTAACTAGTTGGTTTGATTCTAGAACAAATCTGAAGTCACCATTCAGGGCCTCGTGATCCACTTACGTTTCTTAATTACCAGCTCGTTTAATGAAGTCTATTTTACTGTAGGCGTATGAATGACTTGATAAGAATCTGATTTATTTAGCCATACTTTATCTCTTAACAAGACACCAATATTAGTTGGATTGCATGTATTTGCTATAATTTGCCTAGATAAACGCATATAAAACATAATTTTGAAATTGAAATTTAAGATTAGCAATACTACTGTGTTTTACACAGCATAAATCAACAGTTAAGCTTTTCGCAGCCTTGTGTAAGCCTCTTTGCCAATGTTTAAACTTCACAGATGTCAAGTTTAACCTATATATTAGTTTCATATCACTTTTCTTTCTGAAAAGGCAAATCTTGAATAAAGGATTTCCCTTTTTAACAAATCATTTAATGATATCACTCATCCATGATTCTTTATACCTTTGAATAGTTCACTAAGTAATTTTACGCATTTGTGTTTATGGAATTTTTCTCTTCATTTTTTGTCTCAAGGTGTTATCGATTCTTTACTAGAGATAGCTTGTGCAAGTGGAATAACCTCATTAAGAAATTGGCGTTCATCTCGTATTAATAAACATACCAATAAAGAACTAATTTCTAATAAACATGAAATATCATGTCAAAATTCACCAGATGGAATTCGTTTAGCTACTACAAGTGATACACGTATGACTGTAGCTTGTTTGTTAGCTAAAATATGGGATGATTTAACTTCAGACAAAAGTCGAGATGAATACACCAAAATATGCAAAGATTTTATCATGTAAGTAAAACTATCGTATTCTCTTTTATTCATTATTTCTATGAATTAGTTATATATCTAACATTTTTATCTAGATGAGAAGTTTGTTTGAGTTGATATATGGTCTTATCATCAATTAATATCGCCAAATGCGAAATCATTGGAAGCTAGCGCTCATCAGATAATTGTTTCTTCCTAGTATAAAACTATCAGGACTCGCAACGTCAACAGAGGTTGAATGCATAATTTTCTTCTCTGGCAACCAGTGCGTTGCCTTCGAAATATTAACTTGATATTTAATGGTCTGGATTTATAACTTTAATCATTTTATTTTTTTCATTGAAATTATAAACCGATCAATGTTAGACAACCATTAAAAACTTGGAAACACTGGACGGCCGTTTCATCGTAGTATGGAACTCCTCAGCCGTGTGCATCCATGACTCCGCATGTGCAACTCGAACCCAGGAATTTCGGTATTGCGCGAATGCGAGTGAAAATTTCATTAAATGGATGATTTTAAGCAAGAAAGTAGAAAATAAAGCTTACAAAATGAAATAAGTTTACCTTGTATAATTTGTTTAGATGGGCGCTTGAAAACATAGTAGAAATACGAGAACTACTGAATGTATAATTAATATGTGATGCTGTGAATGTGTACAGAACGATGTGACACTTAAGACTTTGGTCAATTATTCAGTATTAAGAAACTAAATGGAAAGTAAAATATCAAGATCATGATCACAATAATTTTTGGTCATAATTTTAAATTAAAGCATTCACAGTATATTGTTTTTCTCATTTTGATTTCCATTAGTGTTAAGTATTTGGTGTACTTGAGGTTTTGTGTAAGTTGTGAAACATTACCAACCATTGTGAAAGCTCTACGTTCATTCGAACATCACTTGTTAGTTCCCTGTGATATCGAAGCTTCAATATGAAGGTTGACTTGTTAAGAAAATTAGATATCGGTCTTTTCTTAAATGTTTTGAATAAAAATGGTCTTTTTTATCTATTTACATCCCTTCGTGTATTTTTAAAAATACTAGCTAACAACCCTAATTCATCTTTAGTTTGAGCTTTAATTTTATTGTTTTTATACTAAATTTTTAAAGATGGGATCTTAATTATTTCTCTCATGAATTGAGTAAATACACTGTACAAATAATGAGAAAAATAAATGATCTGTTTAGTACGGTATTGTCTAATTTTATTGAGCGGTGCTTTAATAGTTGAAAGACTCGGCTTCCAGTAGATAGTAAGTCCCGGGTTCGAGTCCCATCAAACTTCGGTTTGAACAGCCTAATAGTAATATCAGTAACGTTTACGCATAAAGTGTACTTTTAAAAGCCGAACAGATAAACACACATAGTAAATCGAGTTATATTAATTGATGTTAAGCAGTTGAAGGTAGTCGATAGAAAACTCTTGGGCTTAAGTTTCATGATAGTTGACATTTACTTGTAGGACGTACCTGCAATCTGATAGGAAGTTGTACTTCTTGTGGGATCTGAAACCCATCGCTTAGCTTTACAGTATCAGACACTGTCACGAAGCTATTAGAACCTCAGTGACCTCCTGTAAGACTTAAAAATCAACAACTGATTGACCACTGAATAATGATCAATGTCATATTTTTTAGCTTGCTGTTGCTAGTGGGTATGATATCGAGTCATTCAGACTGCCATATTACAACCTGATTTATAGAATTTGGTTAGCACTTAAAGATTAAACAAACATGATATTAATAGCCACTCATTGCCAAATCATTTATCAACTAATTAACTGATGTCTTATTTGCGAAACTTTTAATTCATATTTGCTGTGACTCGATTGCTTGTGTTTTTACTGATGTCTGTAATTTTGTTGAGAAAAATGTTTCTATTCTAGTGAATTATTCGCTGATAACTATATAGAAAGTAAGGTTGAAGCTGCTTCAGTTATTGGTACATTATTCCTCGGACCTTATGAAGTTGGATCAGGAATAATTTCTCAAGAAGGGGTTTTTGATGGTCTATTACTTCTTACACAATGTGAGAATAAACTTTATCAGGTAAGTTGTTTCATTGTGGTCATTAACATAAGCAACTTAATCCTAGCACACAGATTCATCAGTTCGAGTTGCTGCATTGTCAATAGAAATGTAAGATAGTATAAGTATGAGTATGAGTACTCATAATATCAGTGATGGTAGAGAAAAGTTCAACACAAACGAGAGAGAATGAATGCACTGAACAGAAAAGTGTAAGACAATTTTAAAACTTAAGGTCCAAGGTAAAGGATTTCAATAGGTTATAATTCATTGCTACTGACAGTTATTAAAGTGACAGTTTGTATGATCATTTCGTAGTTTGTTTGTGTGACCCATGTGCATTGATACAATATTAATGAATACAGACTGTACTAAAAATCAAGAATACCGAGTACGGTTGCTCCGAATTAGCATTTTGTGTTTCGTTGAGTTTCGAAAATGTTTGGCAATGACACTCTGACCTGTGACTTTGAAATATGGTTATTTGGTGAATATAAAATCATTTATATGCGCTGTTAATCAACCTGGAATTACTATTGGGAAGCGACTGAATAATTCTCTTTATCCGGTTTAAAAGAAGAATAAACTATGTTCAACTATATAAACCATATTAATTCCCCCTTGCATTTACCGATTATTGATTGTCGTTGCTAGTTTTGCCATATTGTGTTAAATTCATTGGAATGGCGCAGCCGAGATCGAAGCAGTATCTTGGCTTCTCGGAATCTACTTATTTTAATGTATGTAAATAAGTGATTACACAGTAAGTCATAGTTAGCTTACTTGACGAACATTCGAGATGATAAAGCCCCAGTGTCAGCAATCAGTACTCAGAACAGACTAAAGTAAAATGACCAGTTTACTATGACTTGGCGTGTTATGACCTTATGTCCGGCTTTTTATCATGTGATTTATCCACCAATCAAAATACGACTTAACAATCTTAGCACTGTGACAGAACCAGTGATGTTCGTCCAGTATGAGCAGCCTAGCGTCCTTATTGGTCCTATGTCCGCCTAGCCCGTTCACTTGAGTTCAGAACAACAATACCAGCTTCTGCAATATGAATCATTTATTTCAAACATACTCGGTTCATCTATCAACCAGACAGACCACAACGTATCATAAAATAGAAAATAACATTTGTACAATATTTGGCCAAATGTGGCTGTGAACGTGGGAGGCAGTAGTTAATAAACTGAACATAGCTTAAGAACCGTAAATCGTACAATAATAAATGATAGGTCAAAATAAAGCTTATAATAAGAGGAATATAAATATACATAATCTAATTGTTGAATAGTTATACTATAAGAATATATAGATAATATTGGTCAATTAATGTCTCAGAAGTTACTCGTGGATTAATCTTCGCTCAGATTAACATGGTGGATAAAAGCTTACATCAACCAAATAGTAGCTTGATAGTTTTACTTAATCTAGATCTGATGATCCAAACTTTTGAAGCTTTATTGAAGCAGTTTAGTCCTAAGTTTGTTACTAGCATTCAGATCAAATTCATAACTAGTCTATTTTCCTATAGACTTATAAGTTTATGTCTTCTGACTGAGATCATATTGCTTTTAGTTAATGGAAGATATTATCGTTTGATTTCCCTCAAATATTCAGTCTAATGTTTTTGTCTATCTAAACCTAAATGATGAATTGTGTTTGACATATGCTTATCTAACTAATTTAGTCTATTCAACTGGGTACTCAGCAGGGTAAATTCATGATCGTACTCACATGTGTAAATGAAAATTTGTGTCCCTTCTTGTTAATCTATACATAAATAATTTTAATTACTATTAAATGTAGATTTTAAGCCGAAGGATACGCCAAACTACATTTTTTAAATACGATATTTGTTCTAAATAAATATAAAGGATGCTATCACCTTTTCATCCAATTTGTAATCATGCTCGTCTCTCTCTCATTGAATTATCACCTTTTTTCATGCTTGTTTCCTCTATTTAATCTTTTCGTAACGAGTTTTTATGTATTTATGCATTACGTTTTAGACAGTTGCATTAGATACAATTGTAATTGCCACACATAAGAAACAACAATGTTTAAGTATAATTTCTAAAGCTGTTCCTTTATTACAATCATTGTATAAAAGTGAAAATGATGGTACTAGAATTCGAGCACTTGTTGTAAGTTATTTTTACAAACAATTTTAACATTTTATTTTTACAAATAGGTTCTTTCGTTGAAGGTGTTTTGTGGAGATTAGTTTATTTTTTAAGTTGTATTCATCACAGATTGATCATCAATTGGGGTGCCATTAAAAACCAGAGAGCACTAGAAAACTATTCCGTTCTGGTGTGAGACTGGCGCTGAACGCCTACGACCTCACCGGGAATCGAACCCATGAGCTTCAGATCTCATGGTGAACCCTTCATCACTAAAACTATCGGCTTAGGGTTCAGTGGTACAATCCCCACTTCAGTCAATTCACGAAACAGTCTAACGATCATACAATGCCGTTAGTAATAAACTGTACCACTTTTTACATACTTGAACTTCAACAATCACGCCATCTCTCTAGAAATTCCAAAACATCTTGAAGTTATTAATGAGTTTACTATTATAGTTTTTTTTAAAAAAATTGTGTAAATTAGTTTAATTTATAGGTTATTTGTTGCAGGTTTTTGATGATTCTTAAACAAATCGAAAACACCCATTGAAATAACAAGAATAAACTAATTCAAGAATGTACTCTTTTCTGCGAATTCATTCTCATAACTGTACGATTGCGAATGTATATTGCTTTTACATTTTGATAATTAAATATGTTTGTTGATAATAGCAATAATATAGTGAAAAAAACTAATGGGATAGTACGACGTAATTAGCTATAAAAGGATGAAAAGTGCACGTCTTAAGAGGTTGAATATTTATCAAGAATGTCATAAAATATTATCATCCGTTAGAATAGATTGGGTAATGAAACAAGTCAAATTTTGAAATTTATGTGAAATAGATTCAAAAAGGCATAGAAAAACAAATCAGTCAGTTGAGAGGGAATAGAGGCAAGGTCAAAAAAATATATGAGAAACGGGAAGAAAGGTTGTCTGTGGGAAACTGAGGGTTACGACTATGGTGGTTTTTTTGGATGTATAATTCTGGTAAAAGCTTCATGAATGAAGCAAAGACAAAATCTCACTAGTTCGCGTAGCTTTCTTTTCACCTTGACTTAGGTGAATGTGATTGTTTTGATCAAATGATCTGTATCGATAAGTTGTTCAATAATTGAGTTAATTATTATACAGCCATAAGAATAATTTCACTTGGAAGTAAAAGTCTTTGTTAAACAAATCTTCTTTGTTTACCAGTTGGTTTTCACTTTTGATGGATCTAATTTCCATACACTGATAAATATGTAACGTGAAAATATGGGATATTTTTCAAATTTTCTTATTTACCTCATGTCCAACTATTTAATTGCTTATCTAGATGAACTGCATTTTTACAGTCTCTTATTCAAAAAATCGTAGTCACAATCCGTGTTGATGTGTTCTTATTGAAAAATCTATGATTTCTTTTTAGTTAACTGGTTCTCTACTGTTAAGTATTTCGTGACTAAAATACTTCACTCAACTTTTCTTAAATCGGAACAACAATTGTGGTCCAACAATATTTAATCTAGTGATTCCAATAACCAAAACAGAGTAGTAAAAATACTACAATATGTGTAGAATTCACAACAAAAACTTATAGTAGCTAGATTCATCTGCTAGCGTTGATTACTTAGATAAACTGAACAGTAGACAAATAGACAAATTGACATATTCTTATTGAAGCATGGCCAAAGTAATACTATAATCAGGACTTCAGATTTTAATACAAGTTACATATTATTATTTTAGGCTTTATGTAAACTTGGTGCCGCTGGTGGTACAGATGCTAGTGTGAAAAGTCTTACAGAAGGCTCTAATCTACTTCTTCTCAAAGCATGTCGTCGGCTATTATTGGGTAAACGACAACCAGATCCTGATGTAGATGATATTTCTGCAAATAAATCAGCCGATGTTCATTTTAATTCTGAAGGAGAAGTTGTTGTAGATGATAATGATGACGATGATGATGAAATTCGAATTGAAGACGTATCAGCTAGTCAACCAGTGGAGAAAAGAAAGGATAACAAACCTGTAAATGGTTCTACTGCTAGTACTATTCATTTCGATGATTTAGATTCTGCTCATTGGGCTGTTGAAGGTATGGCTTATATAACAATGAATGCAGATGTTAAAGAGGAAATAATTAACGATGGTCATTTAGTGTCAGCTTTATTACGTTTTGCTGAAGTATGTTATATTTTCACCTGTTATTTTGAAGATTTTTGTAGTTTTCATTGCGTTTTTTTCACTATAAATGGATTCAATATACATGGTTTTCGTTTGTCATATGATGATAACGATGTTCCACTAGGATTCGCCAATGCGAATTGGCTTAGTGATGGGACAGAATTATTAACTGAAATTCTTGAATGAACTGATATTATAAGACAATACCATTAGCCAGATGAAGATAATATATCTTCCAACAAAATAACTCGCTTAAATGACAATAATAAACACAAAAGTAAATATGATTAGATATCATTCAATAAATAAGCGATTGGAAGATAAAACAACTAATTATAGGTTACTAACTCTCCAATGGGATTAATGCCTAACTACTAGGTTTAATTCTTGATCCATCATATCAGATAATCTTGTTAGATTCTCATTCGTAGATAACTGGACTCTTTTGTAGTCATGTGAAAATTAGTGATTGGGACTGTGAAGAAAACATTACACTTGATAAAAGTAATTGTTTGTTGTCTTAACCTCTAATTGACCGTTCATGAACAAGGTTAGATTCAAAACTCACGGGTACAGAACTAACTCAGTTTAGTTCTATAATAAAAGGAAAACCAGATTTGTGACTTCATGTATAGTTTTCGTGACGATTTTGAGTTCATTGATATTTTACTCTGTTCACTAAGTGTTGTTTGCAAAACGACGTTCAAATATACTACTGATATCCCCAAGTTTTTTTATAAATTAATATATCGTGCAACATAACTTGACAATTTATTCCCTTTGTTGGATGCATAATGCGTAGTTAAAGAAACTTTCTGCACCTACAAAATTACGGGGTACTTTTTGTGTTAGGCGGTCGTTCAATTCTACGACCGGAGTTTACGCTTCCTATGCGCAAGCTCGACCAGCTACTTGAGTGAGAAAATTAAGAGTGAGTAAGAAATTATTATTGGCTAACCCGAATCTGCGTATAAATACAGACTCATTCATCAATATAGATGTACCTCTCAAAAACTTGAATCAGTTTTTCGCCATTGGTATTTGTCTATTCCCCTCAGGAAATTAAGTTGAGCCTTGGTCAATAGCATTCACTTGCCAACATTTGTCGCTTGGCCTTGAACTGATATGTCTGATTGTTCCAGATTATGATTATTGAATCTGGAAAAAAAGTTCAGCTCTCGTAATAAGCACGGTACTCTTCTTCCTATCAAATTGGAATACGATGATCTCAGTTGCTCAGTTCAGTCATTCTAAATTCACTGTAACTATCGATCAACGTTGTTTAAAACATCTACGATTATTGATGATACTAGGCACGGTTTCCTGTTTAAAAATCGAGATGTATATTGCTCACCCACTGTTCAACAATCGGTTTGTTTATATTTTATTAATCCTTGAAAATGTATCCTATTTTTTGACAAAGATTTCAGTCATAACATTACAACTCAGTGGATGAATATAGTCAATCGCCCTGTAAAATTTAGATATTCTGAATTATTTTTCGTGTATGACAGTGGATACGGACTGCTGAGAAATCCCAGACTACAAACAAATATATTTTTAATACTATCCGGTCTTCAGTTCACAATAAAAGCTATCTTGAGTTAGAACAAAACTGCACAAACAACTTAATCAATCAATAAATCATTTTGTTATAATATAAGTATACATAACGACGGTTGAGGAATGTTGTTTAATCTGTAGCTGATTCAATTTTCAAAGATAACTGGAAAACAATATATAAAGTCTTTGGGGCGAGGATATTTTCCAATAAACTAAGATTTCTGAAATCCAGTTAGATAATTTTAGAGAAACGATGACTAGTTTTTTGACAGCATCATCATTTGATCCTATGTAAACTTTCTATTCACACTGCTCTTTTAAATTCTGTTTAAAATCATTTTTAGCATTGTCAAAAAGACTCATCATTTGCTTTATGCAGTGTTTTAGCTCATTTAACGAATAGTTTTGAACGTCAACAAATTGAACCGGAAATCCTTGAATTAGCGAAATTTTCTAAACAACATATTCCAGAAGATCATCCATACGATTCAGATGCATATATTCAAGAACGTCGTCAAAAATTAATCAATATGGGTTTAGCTTCTTCATTATATCAGTTGACAATGCGTGTAGCTACTGCTTTGGTCGGAACAAATCAGGGTTTGTTCGAACTAATTTCTCGGTAAGTTAGTTAGTTCATGAAATGTTGGATGTTTCCTCTTTTTTAAGACAGCTGTACATATACGTATATATATAAAATCTCGTGTTTCATTATATTGAAATGATCCTCTATAGTTTAGACTCATGGCTGCTCTAGGCAAAACTTCGTTTATTCCTAGTATAGAATTTAAATTTTAAGGATATCTATCATACATTTTAATAACTCTATTTCCTTTCCTATATTGTAATATTTGAATTATTCATTATAATATTTAGGACTACTATAATCTTATCACAGCTATAAAAAATATCGGTCACTGGTCCTTAATATTACTACTATTTCGACTCTTGAAATTTATTTCCTCGATTTAACTTTTTTCTGCCTATGTGTTATAGGAACATGGGCTAATGTACATTTGTGTCAGACCTTACGTTGATAATAGCTTTCCGATTGCGTTTACAAAAGTTACTTGATGCTTGAACAATTTTTCAGCTAATATTAACTCGTGATAAATCTATCCTAAACATTTTGTTGATAAGTTCTCAGTAAACTAACATCTGAAAATACTTTGTTTTTGTTCTTCACTTTACATTTAAAATTTCCATGGTTTTGTGTACTTAAACATGATTGTTGTCTACAACTATCAGTACTCCTCAATTTTAAGATATTTGAAGGGTTTGAATTTTTACGGAAAATTTACTTCTGAAATGTAATAAAATTAATCTGTTTTCACTTCAAAAATGCATGACAGAACGAGTGACTTGACTTTTTGGGTTGTAAATATTCATGGACGTTGGTAGTTGAGACATGCACTAAGTGTGTTTAACCAGTAACTACGCTGATGCATTTTTGATGGTTAACAAATGCGTAGATTGAAGGGTGACTAAAAGATCCTGATGAAGTCAGTCAGCTACAACGTAGGACCAGGCACATATATACATCAGTACAGGTTGCCATACCTCATTAGCACAATAAGATGAACACCAATTTAATAGAAGTAGTCACTTCAAAGGTAGTAACGTATAAAAGAAAGATTGCATATAAGAATATAGTGCAGGAAGAAAGATTTCGTACGTAGAAAGAAAGATATGAAGCGATTTTAATCTCTTAGTTGAAGAGAAGACAGAGAGTGTATACTCCTACGCCATTGTGATCGATTCTGAGTCATGTCAACCAGAGTCTCCCAACCATTGGTTCCGATAGTCACGCGGACCCCAACCAAGTAGTCTGCGTCTACCAACATGGCTCAGACCAGAAATTAGTGTCTTCAAGGACTGATGCCACGTTTTGGTTTGGCCGTCCCTAACTTTCTTCCAACCGTCTCTGTTTGAGTATTTTTCCGCGATTTAAAATCCCTGTTGCAAATTGCGAAATAGTCATAGTTAGAGACGTTGGACACCATGCCCTGGAATTGGTCGTATTGGCGCATTCGTATTCATTTATTTTTCTATAGATCTTAAGCATATTATTACCCAGTACTTCTCATTCGTCCCTTTTAAACTTTTTTTAAACCTTCACTTCATTAGATATTATTATTTCCCCTTATCTGCATCTTTTCCTACCTTACTGACCACAGAATTCTTGCGTATGGGAAGTCCGAATAATCCTTTGCCTATTATCACTTATTATTATTGCATTTATCATAATTATTTTATCTATATCCCTTAAATCTTTCGTTGATACTAAAGCAAAGTTTTATTGTCTGTTGTCTGGTTTAATTACTCTACGCGTTTTCAATGTTTGACCAACCCATCTACTTAAAGGGAGAACAAAAAAATCTCATTCATAGCTTGCGTATCTAAAGCCGTATAATAATGCTTACAACTCACATGGATATTTTTCAGTGATTTAATTGATCAAAATAACGATATGTAGAAGATGACATTAGTTATAAGTAAATAATTTGCTCACTCAAAATAGATTATCCATTCATGAATCTCACTATGCAATATTCAGGCATCATGTACATGTCTGGTTTTTACACAACATATCATAAATATATAAAATTTTATCATACTATTATAAACAATCACAAAGTAAGCTAATTAATTGAATCATGGATACCTATGTTTTGTAGTTAGTCGTGAAATTTCTCATACAAAATGATCTATCAGTAAAACGGATTTCCAATCATTCTCCGTGTAATTAACAGTATAAAGTTTTTGCCGACATATTAAGTAAAAAGTTAGTGGCTTCTGTAACTTCGCTTTGTTTGTTAAATCGTCTCAGTTCATTTTCATTATCTAGAGTTTAGGTAACTGATAATCAAGTCAATTTTATTATTGTTCCAATCTCTTAAACCAGTCAGAAAATTTTCCGTCCTATATTTTGACCATCAGATATTAACTATCAAGCCAGCATATTTTGGAAAAAATTCATCTATAGCTGTTATATCCGGACGAAGAATAGGTGAACAGTAATTGCTAGGATCTATTTGTGAATTATTCTTATCTTATAACTATTAAGTAATTATATTATATGTACATTCATATTCCTTTTATTCGACCTATTGACTATTATTTTACGGTTTGCTATTCTTAAGATATTCCTAATTTATTAGTTAGAGTCTCTCACAATCACAGCCACTTTTTGACCTGATCTTGTATAATTGTTATTTTCTATTTCATGGTATGATGCAGTCTGGTTTGTTTATATATAAACCACGTATGTGTGAAATATATAATTCGTATCGCGGAGGCTGATATTAGCGTTCTGGACTAAACGGGCTGGATTAGGAAAAAAGCTACTGTTTTGGTGTCTCTAATTGGCGGTCGTGTCACGTAATACATAAACCAGGCCATAAGAATATAACAATAACCTTACTGTGTCTCTTTCTTTTGACACTAATCACGTGTTATCGTTTCATTTAAAGCATTTATTTAGCCTGTTCCGAATTAGTTGAATGTCGTGGTAAACTTGTACAAGGTGGTTCTGGGAAAGCTCTTCTTAAATTATCAAAGAGTACTTTGAATACCGATACAGGTAAAACGTTAGCTTCTCAAGCTCTTGCTCGTTTAACTATCACTGCAGATCCACGTGTAACATTTCCAGGACAAAAGGTATGAAGTGATTGTTAATTGTTTAATTAGAATAACATATATAACCAAACAATATTGTTTTCAATTAGATCCTCAAGTCTTTGTATTCACAAAATAGTCCTAACACCTTTCTCTCGTCTTCAGCCGAATTAGCCTTGATAAACGATTTTATCGTTTTCCATACTCTTAGTTCGTTTAATACTCCTCACTCCCCCTTTTCGCAAATCATTGCTTCATTGTCCAATTATCTGAACACTTCTCATTACGTATATCCTGCGGTTTCGATTTCAGTATCAATACTTTTCAAGTCATTGACCTATTTCCATTATGAAACATGGATTCAAGCCTTTATTATTCTTATCACAACTAGTACACCTGTCATCACACTATCAATTTATACTTTTCGCTTAATATGTTTATTTATGTAATGTATTCGACTGTTATCGCTAAGACTAACTGCTGTGATTGGTTTAATAATTTCGGACACGCATATAAATATTACTGTATATTAGAGTAAAGCCTGATGAAGATATAATCGAAAACAATTTTGTTTACTTACATATGTTGTTTTAATGCACAATATGGGAATTCTTAAAACTTTGGTTATATTACTTAATCATGTTTATTTTCTAAAGTTAGAAATCACGTTTATTGAATTGATTGAAGTTTAAAATTTAATTAGTTGGAATTAGTGTATTAACTGTTATTCTATCCAATTATCTACAAGGTAGGAGCGGTATACTGTCTTTACCGAAAATAATTCACCTAGTATAGCAATGAGACGTTCTACTGGATAATTAGATTATTTTTAAAGAATAATTGTCATAACTAAAATATGTATCCGATAAAGCTTATTATGTTTAAATCCACAGATATCAATTTTAACGTCTCATCTACATACGCCTAACCATACTCAAACTTAAACGCGTTTTTGAGCTCCGAATTCTCAATGATGACTTCTCATACTTTGAAATTGGGTGATACACTGTTAACCTTGCATGGGGAATATCGATTCTCTCAAGATTGCCGGTACATCTTTCTGACGACTACTAACTAGCATGAAACCCAGGTTAAGCAGGGTTCCCTATTGACTATATTCGACCACATAACACATGTTTTTATATTTGAATATTGTATCTCACTACGATTCATTTGAGTAGCATAAAAGTTACATGTAATCTTAAAGAGATTCATGTTTGTTGTTTCTTCGTTCCATTTTGTATATTGTTCCCAGTCATTGGAACTTGTTCGCCCACTGCTTCATTTAATTCATGCAGATTGTAATGCATTACAAAATTTTGAAGGTCTATTGGCTTTGACAAATTTAGCTTCATTGGGAGATACACATCGGTAAGTAATGGAACTGTTAATATATTATGCTAGCTGGTTTCCACACACTTGATGTTATTCATGGTTATCTATTTGTAATAAAGCAGGAATATATTGGTACTTTTCTATAATCACCATCATAGGCTGATTTTAGTTAAACAACCACTGAAAATCAGAAAGCACTGGACAGCTGTTTCATCATAGTATTCAACTCAGCAGTTTGCACTCATTACTCCTCTGCCAATCTAACCCTGAGCTTTTAGGTTTTATGGTCAGCGTTCAATCTTTAGACTACTGAGTTCGCATCCGATAGCTTACGCGTCTAACTTCAATCAATTCGTGATATTGATGAACCGTCTTTCAATGTCACTGGCGGGTAACTATCTCACAATTGACACAGTCGAACTCCACTGGACACGGCTTCTAACTAAAACTCCTGGAATTACCTCTCTAAATTGGACACTTGGGAGCATATGATTATTATTATATATGGGGTTTGTGGAGATTGTTGAATTTCTTAATTAACTAGGAGCGGTCCGTGGTGCTAGCTATGAAATTCAACAATCTCCACAAACCACCTGTATAGTATAGAATTATTGTTAGGCTTAACTGACCGGATCGGATAATAATTTAAGTTATTTTGTGTTATCCTATGCTCAGAAAAACATCAAATTCTTGCATGAAGATATGAATAAAGGAAGGTTAGATATCGAAATTCGAAAAAAAGCAAGTACATTAACCTTATTAACTCACACATTAAACACTAAGTTAATATACGTTAATAGTTCGAAATTTTTGGTAGCTATCGGATTGGTGCATAATTAATGATTATGGTTGCTGTGTTCTTAATTCAGTCGACCATTAATTGGATACAAAACACAAACAGTAAGCCTTGGAGTGCAAAACATAGTGATATTCTGGATAATTTTTCGATGGGATTTACCAAATTAGTTATTACAAGTATTCTCAGGCTAAATTTATCTATTAGGAATACATTTTAAAAAATCATAGGGCATTAAACGACAGTAAGACTTCTAAGCGGTGAACATTCACGATACCACTTCCTATGTCGGTAATTAAATCTTTGTTTTTGTATAATATGGAAACAGAATATACTGTTTGTTACTATTCAATTTGTTTTCAGGGTTATTGAAATACAAAAGTAAAGGACCGAATTGTCTTTTTAATTAATTTCCACAATGTGAAAGACATTTTCAACGGAAATATTTTGTACAGTTAATTGATATTCACTTTTTCAATGATTTCCTATCGTTTCTTGTTTCTTTCTCAGTTATCGTATCATGGCAGAACATGGATTACCGTTAATTGATCACTGTCTTTTTGAAGATCATCCAATGATCAGGAGAGCTGCAACAGAATGTGTAGCTAATTTAGCTCAATCTCATGGCTTTGTTATATCTTCCGGTGGTACTATTCCTTTGGATGATACAGATTTAGCTAAGAAATTATCATATCTTACATGTCCTACAGAACGTGTAAAATTGCTAGTTTTATATTGTGGAGAATTAGATGATTTACTTCTTGTACGTGCAGCTTCTGGAGCTTTGGCCAGTATGTCATATGATCCAGGGATTATACGGAAAATTACTAATGTGAGTTTGACAAAACGAAAAAGTTTCCAATTCACGAAAACAAATTGCGAACTAACCATGTTTTATTTGTGGATAAATTTTTAAGATGTTTTTGTATCATTAACGGGATAATCTAAACCATTTTAAATTAAATGAAAACTTATACTCATTGTATAAATGGATCGCTAACTGGACTCAGTAGTTAAGTGGACAAAGCGACGGCGTTTGAAGCAAACAGTATTTGATTTCAGTCCCGAGGTCAACAGCAACTCAGGGGTGTAGCAGGTGCACTCGGCTGATGAGTCCGAAATAGGACGAAACGCTTGTCCTAAATTTCATTACAAGTTACATTCCATCTCCTATAAAACTACTTACTGTAAAAATAGTAATATAAGAAGGAGAGTGGATATAATTTTATGTTATCATGATCGTCTTCCAGGTGAAGCGATTTCAGTAGGTTCCTTCAGAATTTATTAAACATACAATCATCATTATTGAAAATCTGTTATATGCCATTACTTTGCTAACGTTATTAGCTTAAAATAGCGAAAAGTTAATAAAAACAATTTTTTTAATTTTCACTTATTGAAGAGTAAAAATTTTCAATAATAACGATCACCATTTACCCAACGCCCAAATTTTTTCAAATAATTTTATTTGAAGTTGGTTCAAACATCTCTATATATAATGTGTATATAATATACTTATGTACCAGGTGCGAATCATGCCCTAAATATGAGGGCTAATGGTACTACTCAGTTGCCCAAATTAAAGTAGGTGAAGCGGGGTCCGAACGTGCCATGTAGTGGCGAAAGGCCAAATGCTTTAACCACAAGTGATCAAGAAAGGTAAGTGCGATTAATAAGTTGCCTACATAACAGAAACACCTAACAGTCTTAGATCGACGGCATTCAGACTCAGAAGTCATGAATAACTTGAAAATTTGACTATAAATTATTTCACCACTTTATTGATAGTCCATAGTTTCATCATATATAAATCCCAGTAAGTTGTCGACAAATATTAATGCGTCCAAACAATCTCAACATTGAAAACAATTAAGTCAATACAAAACACTAGGTGTAATAATTTTAACAAAATTAATTCTTGTAAACTATTTCGGTCGATTGTTTTTCTTTAAATAACTAGGTCTCCTCATGGTTTGAGATTATTCAAACACTAGCTGGGCACTTTTCATGCGCGTTACAACATCGAGCCGCTCATATCTTGCAAAACTTTGTTCTACATGGTGAACGATCTCTTGGTGAATACTTTTGCAAATCAAACATGTTTGAAGTTCTATTATCATTGAGTCTATTGCCAGATATCGATCCGGCGGATCAAGTGCTACCGGATATTAAACCTTTGTATCCCGGGTGCAGTGATGGACGTATTCGGGAATTAGAACAAAAAGATCGTGAGAGCACAAGAGAATGTTCCAAAAAAGCTTTAGAACGTTTAAAAGAGCTTGGACTTGTGCAGAAAATTCCGAACTAATGAGAAGAAATAGTCGTTAAAATAACAATGAACAAGTCAGACATACGCATTTCCAATTTTTACTTTAAAAAAATTATTTACTGGTTTTTATGCATGTTGATTTATTTTATGAAAACTTTTATTTGTTAGTATTTTTACCGAATTTATCAATTAAAGCCCACCGCATGTTGCCTTAAATATAATTTATATCTCATAGATGCTTTTTTCTGTTTATATTTACCTACACATAGTTATTTTAGAAATGCGTACTTTTCTTAATTATGAGGTATTTTCGTTTACTGTGTTTTTATCAGAAGGGGTTTGTGGAGATTTTAGAAATTTTCATAGATTGAAATCATGAGTCAGTTGGTCCTGGGTTCGAATCCCGCGGGGTGCGGGATCGTGAATGCGCACTGCTGAGGAGTCCCATACTAGGACGAAACGGCCGTCCAGTACTGTGTTTTTATCCACAAAATGAAACCTTATTCGAATGCTATTATTTCAAAGTCCATTTGATTATCTTAACGATGATGGATATCCGTAATCTCTCACAGTATGGGATGGATTTCAACGAATAGGAAAGGGTCACTTGTTCATTCAAGTAAGCTAACTATGCTATCGCGTTGAAAGTCCCTACATGGAACTGCATGAAATTGTCGTGTGCTACATGAATTTGTTTACGCCTGTTACTCCTCATGGAGAACGATTTTCTCAGGTAAATCATAGTGTCGAAGAAGTTTTAATAAAGTGCTCCTATCCGCACTGCACAATGCTTTTTCATAATCAAGGAAGTTGGATTGGTGTTTTCAGTATTCTATTTGAGGATCTTGCTTCTCCCTCTGTCCGATGCGGAGACTGTTGCTACACTTGTGGTGTGGGTTACTTATATCCACATAAGTAGTATATATTTAAGTAGAAGGTCGATAAGGAAAGAACGGGAATAAAACGCAATTCGTATGAAAATTCATGAACAATGAAATCTGAGACAATGGATGTTTGCAACAGGAACAGTTAAGTTTGATATGATGGATTGATATTTTGCAAATGAACTATTTACTATGTGGTTTTCAGATTTTAGTGAGATGCTCTGTGATTTAGTGTCAAATACACCCGATTGTCCCCGCTCTTGTTTTGTTTACTACACACTAGTTGTCTTCATCTGCACTTGTTCGTGTGTATGGGATAGAAGAGTCAGATCATCTGCGAAAGTCCAAAATCTAATTAATTTCGAGCTGTCCATTGTATCCCGTGTTTCCTCTCAGATGTCGAGGTTTTCACAATCCAGTCGACCACCAGAAGAAAGAGATAGGGGGAGAGTAAGCAGCCATATCTGAGTCTGGTCCTTACCTGGAGTGCATCAGTCAGCTGTCCCCCATGCACTACTCTGAAGTGTAGTCTGTTGTATGAATTCCAAATGATGTTGACGATCTCCTTCTCTTGAAGCCTATTCGCTGTCGTTGCTAGGTCTTCCACGTATTTCTGCTTGTCGACTCTAATGCTCCTGTTCACTTGCTTGTTTGCTTATGTATATTCAGCACGTGGCTTGACTTACTGTGATCTTGTTCGACTGTTGTTAATTATTGTCTTCTTGTTCTTTCTTTCTTGAATCTTGTCCAGGGTTTCGATAGAGATCCATTCCTTATGATGATGCTCCTTGCGGTCCAGTACCCCCTGACGCATTGGAGTTAATGCCACTTTTATCCCTTTGCAGTTGTCCTCCATAGTAGTTTCTTCTTCTTTCCGTAGAGTATGTAAAGCTTGAAACCTGATGTTGAGAGTTATCTTGAATTCGTCAAGTTTGTTAGTGGCTCGTAGGAAGGTTGAATTGAATTTTTGTAATCCTGTTTGTCCAGTTGTCGATTGCTTCTTTAACTTCAGTTTCATCTTGGCCACAACTAAGTGGTGATTTGAGGCTATGCCAGCTCCTCTGCTGGTTCTGACGTCTTGCATTGTCCTTCTGGATTTTTTACTGATCCAAACATGTTCCATCTGGTTCTACGTGGTTTGGTCCGATGACATCCATGTAGCTTTGTTCATGCGTTTGTGTGGGAATATAGATCTGTTATGACTTTAGGTTGCTGTCGATTTCTACCCTGTGTTATCGATCGATTACAGTGACACGCAAACACGTACGGACGGCCTAGAGTCTCGCTCCCCTGTCTAGCCCAGTTAGTTGAGTCCAGAACACAAGTCACAGCCTCGGAGATATGAATCATTATATTTCAAACATACTTTGTTTATATACCAATCAAGCATACCACATCGTACCATAAAATAGAAAACAGCATTTTGTACAATATTCAACAAGTGGACAGATATCGACCAATAGGAAATATCCATTTAAAGTCCAAGGACACCATTGGACTTAACATGATAATTATTGGTCTATTCCTCCGCATCCACAACAAGATCTCTCATGAGGATGGCCAGGTACTTTCCTGAGTACTTCGCTATGATCGATTGCAGCCTCTCATAGAACTGGTTTTTGTCGTCGTCGTTGCTATCACTTGTGGGTAAATAACACTGGACAACGTTCATTGTAATTCTCTCTATTGTTTTAAAAGACGCTTTGGTGATCCTGGGCCCATGAGATTCCCATCCCACAAGTGCTTTACGTGCTTCTTTGGACAGCAGAGCAACTCCCTGGGTGTGTGGAGCATCTTAATAGTGAACAGAGTATAGCAGCATCTCCCTGGTATCTAGTCTTTGCTGTCCAACTTGGGTCCAATGGGTTTCGAGTACTGATTCCGAGTACGGCCAAGTTGTATCTCCTCATTTCTGTTGCTATTTGACTGTTCTTTTCAGCCTGTCACATTGTCTGCACGCTCCATGTACCTATATTGATTGTAGCTCTAGTTGTAGGAAGGTTCATCGGCCTCATGAATCTCGGCTTTCATCGTGAGGCGTTATAATTCTTCCTCCAAACTCCCAGGACACAGTTTAAATGGTTTAATCTGGTTGGCAGTTTTTTTTAGTAAGGTTGTATTCTTCGGAATGGGGTTGTCGACCCCATGCCCAACCCTACTTCTTCTGCCCGGGCTTGCGACCGGCAGTACCTCTAGGAGAGCTAATAGGCGGAGTTATGCTATATATAAAATAATATTTTTTGGTAGATGAAATAGTGTGAAATGTAAGTTTCTATCTGTAGTCATTTCGACAAGTGGAACTAATAACAAGAAGTCAATAACTTTATTGTTTGCTACAAGCAGCATATCACTACTAGGGCAAGGGCGGCCTGCTTGATCATCTGGGCTACCTGTTCCTGCCATTTAGATATTTCAACAGGTTATCTATTTTTGTTTGTTTTAATATATCACTATGTTTATTAATCGCATAACCTATTCTGCTGCGTTTCTGAAAAGTGTACAACCTTTCGTTGTCAAAGATACAAAAAACTCAATAAGAGACAATGTGGTTGCTGGCAATATACAACGGAAAGAATGCACATTATTCAGATGTTCATTTAGTGAACTGCTAACATCTAACTGGAGATCACTCAATATTTATCGCCAGGACCGACCAAGAAGAAATAAACGGAAACTTGTTGAAATACTTTACGCTGAGAATTCTATATTGTACCAAAAAATATAATACTGAATAAAGCTGATAATAATAAAAAAATAATAATAAAACACTTGTTATGACGTGAAAACCATAACTGAAGTACATTTAAACCTAATAGCTTTTTTGTACTAAGATGAAATTATATTATCGTCATAAAACGTAACGAAGAAGTTCAAAACATGGAGGTCACATTTACAAGAATAATCATCACAAATTATACAAGCTTTAAGTATACAAGAATAATATAAAAACTAATAAATGCAATAAAGTACTTTCTGCAAGAAATAGTTCTAAAAAATGTATTTACAATTGGGAATAAATTCAATCCATAATCTCTAACTGTGGTAAATTTGGTAGTGCTTGTGCATTAGACTGTTTTTCAAAATCCGTATATTGAATTATTAATTCCTGAAGTGAATTAGTGCTTGATTCAAACATGCTAGTATCAAAACCGTCGACAGTTGTATAATGATGTAAATGTGCCTGCAATGAAATTGACATGTTCTTTTTTAACTTCATCAAGTTTTAAGCCGTACAAAATAAGTAAATTTAGAGAATTTCACAGCATTAACACGTTTTTGATTGAGATTATGAATCGATCGATGTCAGAACACCTTTGAAAACCTGGAAGAACTGAAAGACCGTTTCGTCCTAGTATGGAGCTCATCAGCAGTGCGCATCCACGACTCCGCGCATGGAATTTGAACCCAGGATCTTGTGCGCAGACGCTTAACCGCCAGGCCACTGAGTCCGCATCCAACAGTGTTGGTGTCTTACTTTAACTAATTGACGGTCGCGCGACCACCTTCCATTGTCAGAGGCAGATACCTGTCTCCACCTGGGTTCGGATTCCGCATGCGCCCTGCTGAGGAGTACCATACTACGACTAAACGGCCATCCAGTGCTTCCATCGATCAATTCATGATCTCAATCAAAAACCTAACAATCTCCACAACCCCATACCGATAATTAAAAAAGTTGCTGACATCAAGTAGTGTTTAATGGTGTGATAGTCTAGTGGTTTGACAATTTTATATTATTATTATTATTATTATTATTATTATTATTATTATTATTATTATTATTATTATTATTATTATTATTATTATATATTAGTTTTCATCCTCCTTTCGCCTATTTCGACTTGAAAAGGCCAGATAGTGTTACTAGCCCTCACACTAAAAATATGTAGCCCAAAGCCAAGCACATAGGCTTGTACTCATTTATCGTAAAATAATTTACAAGCAAGCTATTAATCCTTGGAACAGTATCTCTATTGTGATAAAAGTGTCCATAAAGTCTTAACAGTGTCTTGATGATATACAGTAGTTTAATTTGATGGGTGTGATGAAAGTGGAGGAGGGTTATTGACCTTTAGTTATCTCTTGTTACGTCAGACAAATAACAATAAAGCGGGAAGCCAAATAGATATTAGTGAATAGCTAATTTATGAGACAACAGGGCTTTTCCAGCAAACAGTTATAGTAGGAAAACAGTAGTATAATAATTTGTTCATATCTACTTCACTGGAATAATGTACTTCTCAACTTTATTTCATATTACTTTACAGGACAAGGACATATTTCAAATGACCTTGAAGATCTAATATTTTAGTACCTTCATTTTCAACAGGAAACAAAAAAACTAAACAGCACTTAGATCTTAGTTGTTAGGACCGTGTAAATAGCTAATATGCAGTCAAGGTAATATCGAGTACTGTTAGATAAATTATGGTGGTTGCCACTTCCCAGCTGCCCATACCACGGGAAGATGCTCTTTTGATAGGATTCAAAAAAACCAGTGGTCTTGAAGTAGGAGCATGATATTAACCCATAAGAGACGACTACTATATGTCAGTCACACATAGTCTCTTTTGTGAATAGCCTTAGCACTGTATTTCCTAGACCTTGCCGCTGTCAGCAGAAATCTGTGGGTCAAGGTGAGGCGAATCAATTTATCCCACTTTCCGTTTAGGAAAGGCGCCGTCGCTGACAGTCCCAATTGTTTAGGGACAACACCAAACTGCCGTCACACTTCTGTATATTAAGACTAACAACACGACTTCGCCCTCAGACCTTGGGTTTCGATCTTTAGTCTTACCGTTCTTCAGTGAACCTGCCTGAAATGATAGGACCTAAAAGAACAAGCGTTTAAGATAACACAGCTCGTGTCATCAGGACCTCCAAGTTCTACCACTGCATCTAGGTATTAGGTACGGCCAATAATGAGTACGATCCTAAAAATAACGTCACTACATCAGTTATTTTCAAATATAGTTGTTAGAGGCATATAAAAAAATTGCATGGAACGGTGTTTAATAAATGATATTGATGACAAGCACCTCAAAACAAATTTTTATACCAGCGCTTAAAGCGGTCTAGCTCTTAAGTGGCGAGTTATTTAAGGTTTTGTTGTACAAAAGTCGATTTGATAAGTTACTTGCAGTCAGTACGATAACATAACAAATTGTGTTGACTTTACAGAGCATTACTTTAGTAAATTAGGTCGGATACATCGTTGTTGCTACCATTCTCACACAACACAATAAATGGCAAGTTTAATTATTGTATGATAAAATATATCCAGAGTTTTGTCACAATGACTTATCAAAGTCACCAAAACAATATACCCAAGGTCAGGTAAAGCAAACGATTAGTTTATGTTAAACTCATATCCAAGGTAGTAAACTCAACGACGATGATTAAATCTCAAGGAATAGGAGCACAATAACGACTGGTTTAATATGCGTCCACAAATAGGAAACAGTTTACGATCGACCTAGTTATCCATAAGCAGAATAATTGTAGTAGATAAGTTATATATGAATTATTTTTTTATAAGAGCACATAAGCATTTGCTAGTGCAATTTGATGTTCAAAACCGTACTCAAGCTTTACACGTATTGTTGTCTTGTTAAAAAAATAATATAAAAGCTAATTTCAGGTCTTATCACTCGACAATTCCTACAGGTTATGTGTGTTAAGATAAAATAGATGAAATTTGTACTCTCACATAATAACCAGTCATTAGCTGAATATTTAAAAGAGTTCAACAACTACTTCGATTCTTTAGGGGCTACCATCTATCATGACCCTAGTTCGCTGCTACACTAATATTAGGATGTTACAGGGAAATTCACCATCGAAGCATTGATTTAAAAATGCACTGAATTTACTGTTTAAAATGACTAATAATATCCAATGCTATAGTAAAGTATTTGTTGCTGATTCCAACCTCCTACTAAAACTCCTTGTTGACGGCATAACCATCGTTACTTGGTTTTTAGTGATCTTTGTGATAAAACCATTTGGTTTTTAAAGGAACTATCCCAATAAAATAATTTACATTAGTAATAAATGTAATTTACATCATGATTTTGAATAGACATTTAATTAAAATAAAAAACCAATCATGGCATACCTTTTTCCTATATAGTTTATAGAATCGTTCCAAAATAAAACTGAATGATTCATGAATAGAAGTGTTGTTAGCTAGAGCTAATAGACAGTATTTATGATCCACTGGTGGAACTAAACAATGTCCAACTTTCCAACCTTCTCGGTTCCATGGAACAAAATTTAAGCGAGATTGAAGTCTGCCAAAACAACAAAAGTAAAAAGAAAGAAGTTGATTAGTTTATCACTACACGAACTAGATGCTCCAAAGTTGGTTTCTAATAGCTATTAAAGATTCGAATTCTCACCCTAGCACTTCTAGTTTCCATGGTCGAAATGTCTTAACTTCGCACATGTGTTATTGCTAATTGTCAGTGATTTTTTTCATTATTTCATATAAGTGTATCCTATGTGGTTACTGAGTCTTCGGCTTACATTTTCGTATATCATTCTTTTCTACAGGTTTCTTCACACACGCTAGTCTGCACGTTCCCCTGGACGTGCTTTCAGGTTAAACGCGAACTTCTACAAAAGCATTATTCTGTAGGCTGTGTGACATAATCGTATCCCTGCGGACAGTCCAGTAGGCCTTTAATGATCATTATCATAAGGCTCAAAACTTGTTTGTAGGGGATTTTAAAATCTTAGGTGGCAAAATTGTGTGGAATCACTTAAATTAACGGACATTTTCAGAACAAGAGTATTATTTCAATTGTGAATTTGTGAATTTATACGGAGCGGTCGATTAACTCTCACAAATTCCAATATATTACTAACGGAACCAGGTAAGTTGGTAAAGACCGTAGGGAAATCATTGGCAAATAAACAACTAACCGTATCAATCGCAGAAAAACGTTTTTGAGAGATACAGTACTGGATTCTTTTAAATAAGTTTAAAATCTCGTCATTCTAAAAGATTTAACCGACACAATATAAATTTCTCATATAAAGTTTAACATAGTATTTTTATAACAACTTGCTTGTCAATATTTCGACGGAGATCTGATGCACTGATTGCACCACGAACAAGTAGAGCAGCCGCTAGGTAAACATGTCTACAAGGATCAGTAGACATTAACTGATAATCTCTGGTGAATGTATCTGAAAATATTTGGTCGAGCCTATAAAACAAACCAAAATCACAAAAATACAAACCCTACCCATAAATAAGAATTTTTAAACTGGTGAAACTAAATTTAGAAGGGAATAAACAACGAATGAATTTATTATAAACTTTGTACTAAAGCGTCACTAACGAAATATAAATAATCGACAGAAACATAAAATAACTCGTTTTGATTGGGTCAAAGAAAGAGTAGCATCCAGTCCTGACAATAATCTATTAAGGTTGTTGAATTTCACTAAAATCATTAACTGGTTCACGATTTCAATTAAGTGGTCTGCTAGTTAACCATAATCAATGTAGAGTTTGACACAAATTTGAGTTTGTTCAAAATACTACACGAAGGAATATGGTACCTAAAATCTGAAGATAAATAAAGAGTAAGTATATTTGAGCCGCTAACTGATTCTGAACTAAATCACCGAATATTTCAAATCATTTACTGGCTTCGTGGACTGATGTTAAATCTTGATTTGGTCACCACTAGCGCTTTTCCCCTACTCTAGGCATCATTGTATGTTAAATTATGAGACTTACTTTTAGAATGAAATATCATACCTATGACTTAAAAAGTTACCTGGTAGTAACAAATAATAAACTGAAAACTCAAGGTAATACTAAATACATTTAAAGCAAGTGATGTGTAAACTAAATACATGTACAAACTATTGTACAATTACGAATAGTAGTGAAGACTAAAAGTTACAGAAAATGTATTAGATATTTTGTTTAGATCAAACTACGAAGAAATTGACGGTTTTATGAGTTATTTCAAACATATGAATGATTTTAAATGAAGAACTGAAAGCATGGTTCCTTGAACATATCATTTTGTATGAGGTTAACTCTTCGAAACCACATCAATAACTGACCACTATCAACTATATGATTAGGCTTAAACATTCATAAAGTTTCGTCACTTTGACCACAATCGATTGAATTTTCTACGTTAGAATTCTGATTGATTTTTCGGAATTACGATTACATCACATGAAGATGTTGACTAATGCACGTCAGTACATCAAATGAACTAGAGTATTTTCCATATCCTATAGTTTTTTAACACACGATTTTAATACTTGATTGGATAATATTGAAGCTTACTTTTATTAAGCCCTAGGCTGAATAACGGCTTCCCATAGTTTTTGCCAGTTTTACAAGTTATTCATGTATCGTTCGAAAAACCACCCACCATTGCATTACTGGTATGATCAAGAAAGCAGGTTCCAAATGAGAGTATCATGAAGTCTCTCAGGGAAGTTTCGGACTTTGAATCGTGACATCGTTTAATGTTAGTCACAGTTGACAAATAGAATCAGTTCTCTTTAATCATGCAACATCTGTTCATTTCGTAATTTCTGCCCCCTAACCTTATTTATTTATTTGAACACATAAATATTGGTACAAGAGGGCCCTCTAACCCGATATCCTTTGGTTAATTCTTGTGCTGTCGTATTTTTTATCCATTTAAAGTGATAATCTTTTGCACGATTCACAATCGTTTAGATTCAGATTTGGGATATGAAAACAGAAGACTTTAAGTATGCTTTAATTTATGGCACCTCTCCTACAATTAAGTTTATTTGCAGTTAATTTTGTCAAGATCCTGGAAATAAGTCCATGTCTCTCCTATTGATGCACCCAAGTTAATTTTCCACTTTTCAGCCGAGGCCGCAGAGTTGATCACCTTTAGATCTGCATTCCCCATGTCGGTAAGGGCCTGTACGACTGTTTGACAGGCTCTATCAGCCACGGGTTTAAATAAGAACGCGTTGTCAATTCTATCTATAGAAAAGAGGAACATTATTTTATAGCACCTCCCCTACAATTGAATTTATTTGCGGTTAATTTTGTCAAGTCCTTCAATTGACTGATTTAACATTTAACAGTGTTGTTCGAACAGTAACAATTTGTCTATCTTTGTATCGTCATTGTAATTATCGTGTCTGTATGAACATGCATGGTTGGTCACATATCACAGCCTACACATATCCATCTCTTTAGTTTAGTTACGAATCATTCATTTATATATATATATATATATCCTTGGATCTTATTAATTGACTTGACTCTGAATTCGCCTCTGTATTTTCTAGCTCGCTCACAGTAGCATTTCTGCTCAAACTCGCTTGGTGTGTTTGTGGTTTATTGACCTGTGCTGTTCGATAATGATGATAATAATAATAAACCTGCTTCGGTTTGGGCACCCGGGCAGTATCCCAGCCTTTACATAAATCGAATGATTTATGTGGTGCATATCTACTTGATGCCTCCTTTTACCAATGTTTATGTATTTAAATAAATAATCAATGATTCAAAAGTTTGGTGATCTACATTAGGATTTAGTTACTGGAGGATTCCATTACAAAATGGGTGGCATGATAATATGTATAAAACCATACATATATTAGAAATAGGTGTTAATTCTTACTTTCTAGGAGCTGATATGCCAGAGATGGTTGATAAAGGGCTTTGTGAAGCAATCAGGTAATGTAAGCGAGGAAATGGAACTAAGTTCATACTGATTTCATTTAAATCAACATTCATAGTACCTTCAAACCGAGAGGAGCTAAATAAATTGAACGTCAAAGAAAAATGTCAAGATACCTCAGGAAAAGGTTTTCAAAAATTTATCATAACAGTGCGCTAATGTATATTTTTGACTTGTGTTTTTATTGACAGAACTAGGACATATGACACTTTAATATGACAGGTTTCCTCAAAATTACTAATTTAAGGAGCAATCTATTAGGACACATATTAGACACATACTCCACAACTCGGTTCATCAAAGCAATCCTATTCATCAAGTATCAATATAATACTTTAGTCATATTTCTCGCTCTTTGTATATGACTTCGTGTGCAAAAACTGTTGAAAACTACCCATGAAAACTGTATTCTATTTGTTATCATGAAAAACAAACCTAATATGACAGGCAGAACTAAAACGACATATTTTAGACAAACCAAATAATAAAATCTTGTCTCGTTACATTGAATATATGAATGGGTTCGGAGGTCAATATGCCATAAGACAGATCTTCAATGAAGGTAAACAAAATCTAATTTTTGACTGAACTTCATCGAAAAATACATTTATTCCGTAATGAAGAATTCGGCTTACCACAAAATTTAATTGTACTGATACAGGATGAATTGAACAGAATACTAACTTTTCATCTTTATGATGGCGATCTCAAACGGTCAAGAATCACCAAGTGTGAACATATGCAGATTCAAAAAGATCTCACTTCACTGAAATAAGAAAATGGTCCTAAATCCACTGTATACAAAAGCTACGTCATGTGGATCCGTGCCCATACAACGCAATAGATAACTTGTGTACTTTGTGGCCATCGCCTCAGAAATTTAACAAACAGTGATGTAGATGTGCTACTAATGAGGTCAGACACGTATCTGACTACTCGGAAAACGTAGCTAAATCCTATGCCACACTTCATTTAGTCCGTAAGCAGCTCAGTATGCTACCCTCCGAATTATTCCTAACGCATCACAAATGCACATCCAGATTCAACTTGAGAGCATTGATATTATTAGTAAAATGTTTTAAGTTATCGTCAAACAATCATTTCAAAACCTACAGGATGTTCCCTACTAGATTAGATAATACATGACAACATAATGACAAGATGGAGTTACACTCAGCAGTTCGCTATCTTTCTAAGTTACACCATACGGCCTTTTGTCCCTTTTTCAATACTTTATACATCGATATTTACTGATATCCGAATTTCCTTCCAGTGTCTAATTATTGAGGACTTAATCTCTTCCTTTTAGTCTTCATACTCCGCCCAATATGAAACCTGTTGATAAAACAAAGGAGTGAAGAAATTAGACTCGTATGATTGTCAATAGGAAAACCGTAGCCGAGTAGCTTATCAAATGCAATCAGAGACCTAGAATCGTTCCCGAGAACCAAGATCGAAACGTACAAAAACAATTAGTTTACACTAGTTCGTCAAGAAAATATTTTATTAAACACAGTAGCTTCAAAGATCAAGACGTATGATAACTAAAGAAACGCTTGACGACGCCAAAATGTGGAACGGAAAAGAATTCAATATTTCTATTTCTCTTAGCAAGTGTGAACGCAAAAAAACATAAAGTGCGCATTATCACAACTACAAATGACTTTGCAGAAAGACATCCAAAGAGTTTTAAAATGCCAGTCATAACAAAACGGAACCATACCTTGTGAGATTTAATAGCATATTAGCCACAATGTTGTTCATATCATCGAAAGGTTTTGCTGGTTTGGTGTGTTTTGAACAAATTGCTGAACCCGTACACTCATTCACATTTCCTTTAGAGTTACAATGAAAATTTTTAGCTTTATCGATTATATTTGAGAGAGCAATATTATCAATAGGCAGCACACAGTCAGCGAATTCAGTGGTCTGATCAAGAGCCAAAACTGTGTTATACGGAGAAGTGACAACGTCATCGTCCGTTGAAGGAAACACAGCGATGTCCATTCTGATTTATTTGAAAAATTTTAGACCTACTTGTATACATCAGGATATTCATCAGCTAAAATCTTCAAGATATGAGTACCGACTCCAGAACCAGTACCTTCATAAATAAGTCAAATAAACCACTTAATTACCTCCACCCATTGAATGGAGGACAAAAAAGCACTGGAGAAAATCGCAAAGTTCTGCAGACTTCCTTAAAGCTTCACACAACGCATCTTGGTGCACTCGGCCGTAATATAAGTTTCCCACTGCCCTAAATTCAAAGTTAAGATACTTAGTAGCTAGGTGAAATACCAGTTGTTTCCAGAACCTGACACATCAGTGATCAGGTAACTGGAATCGTAAATATTTTTCAATGGTCCCTTTAATATTTCATTGACAACGCCTTCTTCCATATCTACGAGCAAAGCCTTCGAGACTGTAATTCAGAATTTTAGTTACTCTAGCTTTGAGGCCAGAAATTTTAGGCAGGATACCACTTTTGTTATTCGGTCCGTTTACAAAAAATGAAGAAAATGAACTATCATGAAGGCGTCCCTGAATTTATTATTGTAAGCGCACACTAACGCCTTACTTTATTGGCAATTTCGTGTTCTGCAAGAGCTAAGTCCCAGAATCGATGACCGATTTGATTGCCACACTGACCTACTATAAAACAAAATCGGATTTGGGTGATTATCAATAGTTACCTTGTATGAAGACTGACTGAGCCATTCTATTACAAACTATGACCAGACCCACAAACACATTCCTACTCGGAAGATATAGTCTCCGCGACTGATGTTCTAACTAAAGTAACGATAGTAACAATGTAACAACCAAGGCCGCCTCTCTGTAACCTTGAGAACAACCTCAGTATGCAATATATCCGATCTGTATCCAATATCCCTACGACTATGTATAAACTAATTTTTATAGATGGGAAAGAATGGTGGCACTTGCTAAAATGTTCAAATGAATACTCTGAAAACGGATCTTTTCTCCATAAAGATGAATGAAAAAAGTGCTAACAAATTAATATATGATCTTTTTCAAAGTCCTCTGGAGTAAAACAAGGTTCTTCTTGAATCACTATACTTAAGACGACAGAGGATACCAAAACTTCCAGTGTATCGAGACTTTGCTAAGTGCTTGTAGAAACTGATTAATTGTTTTGCACTCGCTTCTTGTTGTTTCGGTACAGCACCAAGTATTTGGTAATGCTCAATTATTGGTAGTCTAACCACTCGACTGCATCAATTCCAATCAGTTTGGAAGTTACTTGCGAACTTGTATACCTTGTAGTTGATTAAGTGCGTTTGTCCCAGAGTAGTAAAGTTTCTGGATACCAGCAGCTATCATATTGTCTGGTAGGAGGTTGGTTGGTTGCAATGTGGAGATAATAAAGTGATAATTTGAGTCCTAAGAGATGATCGTCTCAAGAAAAAGTAAGTAAGATGATTTATTGGTATTGCAGACAGTGTGAGAAGATAGAATTGAAAGAATAAGAGGAGAAACGGAAATGAAATCAAGAGAGATAGGAAGTAGTTACCAATATGAGCCAGCGATGACTGTACCAACTTTTGAAGTATACATCAGAAACACTTAGTTCAACTGAGAGACTGTTATGAGATGGAAGACTTACAATCCAACGTACTTCATTGCACTTCTAAAATGCATTTATTTCGTCGAAGGCTCATTGAAGATGAATTTAACTAAGTATTCTGAAAATTTTCCATGAGGTTTTGTGACGGTATAGGTCATCTCTGTTGCTTACAATATTAGTTTTGTAAATTCACTGCTCAGAAGTATTCTTTGCAAGAGTTATTTAATTAACGGACGGCTGAATAACTAGTATTTTCAACTTCGTTATCCTTCATTAGTCACAACCAGAGGACGCGAGAGTTTTTAATGAACCTCTAAGAATTATTTATTTCCTTGGATGAAGCAGATGACTCAAGATGTCTTCAATGGAATTTCGTGGTTGTCCCGGTGTTCGGGAATTATTTTCGTTGTTTGGAATGTAAATCTGGTATCATTTCTGATATACAATCTTATCGAAAGTGCTTTTTAATCTCTTCGAACCTACCAACACATTCCGAAACTTAAAATTGTATGAGAGCTGGGGTCACATTGGTTTTTTTAAGTTGCTGAGGGGCAGCGATACGAAGTGTAATGGACAAATTTAACGCAAGTCGTTTCCAGCATATGTGCTTGCGCTCACTACCTATAACTATTATGAATATTGGAATGCGTACGGTCAATGGTCTACTCATGAATAATCTGAACAGTGATAACAGTAGAGAATGCCGAGTTAAGAGTGCTCATATTGGTTGTACATACCACTGCTCAACCAAACAACGCATTTAGTGGTAGACATATATATGAGCTCACTTAATAACAATAGTTTTTCATTTGTGCTAAAGTTAAAGCATATCGGTCGTGCTAAGCGATACTGCGACATTTTTCATTCGATTCACTAGTAGGCTTATGGATCACCCCTGTTCCTAGGAGCTTTAATAAACTCACCGTGACATCAAACTGCGGTTCCATGTCTGATTTGATTATGGGATTGCAGATCATGGTTCTTCTTGAACCTAGACCTGATAAGTATTTCCAGATGAAACTTCGTGCAGCGTCATTCTTGCAACTACACCCGATAGGTACTTTATTTCATTCTTCCATTTGACCAGAGTGGAAATTATCAGTTACTAAAATGTTAGTTTTGTTGTCGAGGTCTCGTACTATATGTTTTGAAACCCCATATAGCATCTATTCTGTGTGTGGGAATGTAACTAGGAATATTAAACTCACAAAAGGTTAAGTAAGCCAGGTATTTTTCAGAAACCAGTCATTCAACCTATTCATCAATCATGGAATCCATTTGTTTGTTCATGTGATGATATGTGAAATATCCTCTGATGTGTTTATCCGAATGACTATTGCTTTGTTTTCACTATATTGATACATCGCCCACAATCTATGAAGTGTGATCAATTTGTGAATGACGCTAAGGCCTTCGATTAACGTGTCACTTTCGTTTTACCCGACGATTTCAACTGCCGTATCATGTGACCGTATTTTTGATTGATTCTGTGTGGTTTAACTGAATGATCTATCCGTGATGGATTAAACGTTCGGTTCACTAACTGTTAGTAATATTTCCTGTTGATCGCTCAATCTAGAGTTATCTAAATGGCAAAATTTCCGCTATTTTGGATGAGGACATGCGTTTTTAGGATTTTTTTAACTTCTCCCTAAGTACTTACTTCCCACTCTTAATGTTTAATCGTCTACTGCCCCTCGTTGGTCCCACATTTATTTCTTTGTATGGTTATTCACGTTGTCATACAGAATTCATAGTCCATAATCAATCCTTCTGATGCACTCAAATGGATGGCAACTGTGAATTTTCTTTGGTTTATGTTCATTTGTATTATCACGAGTTTTCAAGTGAGCACCGGCCAACTGACAAACGAAAGCACAAATATGGATAATAACCACGTTGACAGAAATATCTGTCAATAACTTGGGCAGAATATTGTCATAACTTACAGATTTCTAAGGTATTTCCTAACAATGTAGGGCTATGAACTTACTGTATGTAGTTCATGGACAATTGTTGGCATTAAATGCTTTTTTGTGCTTGTCCCCACACCTTACCTAACCAGCTGAGGAACACATCCTTCACCTAATTCCATCTGAGCGCTGGTACATTTACACGCCTATTTCTAAAACTAATTGGCTTGTCCTACAGAATGGTGTCAAAGTGACTGCTACTATTTTGATGTGTTGTACAAAACGTTTCATACTGGGAAAAATGTATTGTTCCACTTCATAATACTCTGAACAATTTCGTCGTTCTTCTTTGTATGTTACAAGTAGTCATAGCTCCTCAAACTGTCTGTGAGGTTTCGTAGTTTCGGTATCACTTAGTCCCTTGAGCTATATGGCTTAGCTGCGGACAACAACATCAGCCTTCGATACATGTGCAAGTGAACTTTTTAATTGGTCTGTGGTTATCAAATTAATTTGGTCCGCGACTAGTTATCGTTGTTGTCTTTATTATGTACGCTTCTTCTCGTGTTTAAGTTGACAGTTTTATTGCTCTGATCTCTGACCCGTCCTCGTCAACGTGCAATCGTTACGTAACCAACCTGAGCAGCAGAAGTGCATCGAGAAGTGGAAGGACTTGAGCCAAATTCCATGAGAACACTTTAACCATCCACTGTCTAACTTTTTACACTAAACATAATCTTGTATGATAGTAAATATGAATAGTTGATCTCCAACAAGATTTTATGGATTTCTAAATCGACTAAAATTACACAATGAGCATTCCACAAAACATTTGACGCGTGATGTAGAATGTCTTTTGTATAATTTTGTGTAAGTGCGCGTGAAAGTCCCTACGTTTTGCATTTTATGAGAAAGTAATTCGTCGTCTTAACCTAAATGAAAAGTTAGAATTTTTTGGTACCTTCATATGCTAACAAATAGGATATTTTTATTCGCGTGAGACTAAAGTCATTAATCTTCCTACATTTTAGGTTTTGTGATCATTTTCTTGCCACTAATCAATTCTGACCACCTTGGTTTATATTACATACTTGTTGTAACGATCGAAATCCTAGTATTTGGTCTAAATGCAGGAATAACGAACCGAAGCTTATTTGATTGGGCCAAACTTCGTTCTCCTGCATACCATACAAAACGATTTTAAGTGACTCGTATTACATCAAAACACAAACACTGTGTTTAATTTAAAATGGTTCTAGTTTAAGAAAGAAAACGCATTATATCCAAAGTATACAATACCTCTAGCACAAACTAATGTGCTAAACATCGAAAGGAATCTTTAATCAGTTAGAGTTCTATACCTGAGAACCGATGAAACGGTCCTCATGTAGATCACCAGCGTAGATGATCTATGCCAAATGATTGCTGGCCTACTAGAGTCAGACAGGAATGGTGTGAAGAACCAGCCAACGTCGAAGTCACACCGCGCTGTCAGCACCTTACATGGATTGCCCCATAAACGTTGTCAAGGTACTATAGATGCTTTGAAGACTGTAAAACACAAAGGACGTTATTACAGTAATATATTAATTACAGTGGATACAAGCGGAAGTAAGACCACCACCTCGTGGGCCAGTCCATGGCGAATGATTAACTGATGCGCGTTGGTCGTCCTCGACCGTTTTCGATATTCAGTGACTCAACTGCCGGATGATTTGGCTAGGGCTTAGTGACATTTCACTGGCCCTACACTAAGAAGATGAGATCCGATATCTGTCTTCGAGGATTCTCGTAACTTTTTCAAGCAAACCGTCACACATTGAACCAAGCTGTAACCTTAAGCTTAGTCAGCCATCACCTCATTGTAAACAGTCTAGTTACATTTGACTTCGAAGTTAAGTTATAAAAGGTAAATCTTTAACCAATGCCAAATAATAAAAGCCCAGACAAAGAAGACTGAAGAACATAAATCGTGATTAACAAGAGACTTGAAAAAAAGTTGTAATGCAATACAAAGAACAGAAACAAATAAATAACAATGCTTTCTAATAAAATGCCTTGGGGGAGATTTTCAACACGTCTTTTCCGTTACACTTGTTGTACTTGGGTGGTTATTTTATTAAGAAACTGCATTTTTATTTGTTACTACTTAATTGATTGAAATGACTGTTTACAATGGATAGAAACCACTTTTTCTTTTTTTAGAAACACATACATCCATGAACGTTTTGGTTACTCATTATAATGATCGACGGCTAACTTACTGTGTAATTTTTAAAACTTTGATTTACTCATTAACTCGTAGTAGATTACTTACCTTGTGAGGAGGTTGGACTGGCCTGCGCCAA